TGCTGTGTGAAGCTCGTGCCACCTGCCTGATGGGGGAGGCTTGGGGAAGTGGGCACAGGCCTTGTGGAGTGAGCTGAGTGTGGGAGTCAGCTCCAGGAGCTCCTCCTCCACCCAAGCCAGCGCCGCCTCGGGAATGTGGGAAATCCTCTTGCTTCAGCAGCCTCCTACCCTCTCTTGCAGGAGATCCCAGGTGATTGAGAAATTTGAGGCCTTAGACATTGAGAAGGCAGAGCACATGGAGACCAATGCCTCGGCAGTGCCCTCTCCATCAAGCGACACTCGCCAGGGCCGCAGCGAGAAGAGGGCATTCCCCAGGAAGCGGGTGAGCTCCTAGGGCAGGGGTGCCAAGGCCCCCGTGGGGCTGGCGGGGCAGCTCAGGGTTTGGGCACACATGATCCCACACATTCCACGTTCCCCTAGCGCTGGAGATGTGCTTCTGCTGGCCTCCACTCCCTGATCTCCCCTCCATTAGTGAGCCTCTTGAGGGCCAGCTTGTCTTCTGCATCTGCGTTCCAGAACTTCATCTCCCCGAGATGGTGCTCAAACGAGTTTTATATCACAGGCAGCAACTAGAATGTTCTCTTACTCCCTGAGGCAGCCCAGCAACAAGGCTGAACACGGTGCCTTTCTTTCTTCCTTCTCTTCCTGTCTTGAGTAGCAGCCACTCCCCTCTTTGCTCCATCACAAGGTGGATCATCCTCTGCGGTCCTCCTGTTCCCAGGCACACCTGCCTGCCCACCTCTTCTATAGCTTGCTGTGTCTGAGCTCTTCTTCCTCCTGGCGACTCTTGTTTGTGAGGTGCCCACTACCCAGCTGCTGTCCACTGCCACAGAACCTGGTCTTCCTTCTGTGCTCTGAGAAGCTGGAGGATGGGGTGGGACTAGAACAGTGTCCCTCACAAGGAAGGATGGATGACCCAGCTCACTGCCCCTGTGCCCACCCAAGCTGCCCTGGGCTGCACTGACTGGCGGCTACTCTCTGCCATAGGACTTCACCAGTGAAATCCCCACAGCGTCTCTATCGGACACCTCAGCTTCCCCCCTGTCTCCACACCGAAGAGCCAAGTCACTGGACAGGAGGTCCACGGAGTCCTCCATGACGGTGAGCCCGGACTGTGTGCCAAGTTCTCTGGAGACCTACTGCTGCCGCTGTTGCTCCTGCTTCTGGCCACCCTGGGCCGCTGTCTGTTTGTGTCTTTGAGTTCATGCCAGATGTCCCTCTGTGCACAGCCCTCATGTCTGTGAGTGCCCCTACCTGCCAACTCACGGCCCACTGGAAGCAAGTCCTGTTTCTTCCCCATCCTTGGCCCAGCAGAATCAGGGACTGTGTGGCATCCTGAGCTCTGCGTGGCGGTCTCGCAGAGGAGGCCACCTTGGCCTTGGCAGGGAGTCTTGGTTTAGGAAGTCAGGACTGCATCAGAGACCTTCTGCTCTTCTGCTTCTGGGTGTTCACTTCTGTGGTGCTGTGGAGGCAGGAGCCGTGACTTGTTGAGACTTGTCCTGTTCTTGAGTTTGTGCCATGGGGGAAAGCAGGCCTTGCCCGGGTCCTTCCGTGGAGCTTAGATCTACAGCAGTGGTGGCTCAACAGGAGCGGTCAAAGCTCGGGTCATGGGCTACGTCGGCAGCTGGCCTGACCCTTCTGCACCCTCTCCAGGCTCCTGGGCAGGCTCACCGCCTCCAGAGGCCCAGACAGAAGAAATCAGCAGGGATCCACCAGCACCCTCCCTCCAGGGCAGGCGCAGCTACAATGACACCACCAAAGCAAAGTTTGGGAGTCTTTATAAGCTGGGCGTGGTGGCGCAGGCCTGTCACCTCAGTTACTAGGGAGGCTGACTCAGGAGGATCACAAGTTCAAAGACCACCCCAGCAACTTGACAAGACCCTGTCTCCAAAAAAAAAAAATTATAATAATAAGAGTCTTTATTACTTACAGATCCACAACAGGCAGGACAATCAGAGGGGAAGAGAGAAACCTTTCATCCCAGGTCTTGTGCAGAACAACCATGTGTACCCAAGAGGGTCTTTCCCTGCATAATGGTCATCTGGGATCAGTGTCCTAATTTCTCAATGTTATTATTTATTGGATCCCTCAGACAACCCTAAAGGAAGGGAGTCTGGCTTAAAGCGGAAATGAGAGGGCTCCACCAAGGAATGTGCTTCCTGGTCAGAGTGGTCCAGGCAGCCATCCACCGCTGTTTCTGTGTGATGCAGCAGGTCTCCTGGAACACACCTGGTTGTTACTCTGCTACTTCTCATCTTTTGCAACTCCCTCCCTGCCCAGGGAATACTGAGACATCAAAGCCAGTTCTGATCAGGACAGCAGGAAAAACAGAGAAGGGGTGGCTGGTGTCTGCGTGAGGACCTGCCTCACAGGAGCACAGAGTGATGGGTGAGGGCCTTGGCCAGGCAAGATGCAGGTGTTCTGACGCGGCCCTGTGAGGCTGCCTCTCAGACCCACACATGCCTGAACAGCATAGGTGAAAAGGGCTGCTGGGCCTTCTTGTCTGCTGTCCTGCATCTTATGGGCAATGGAGACTGAACTTCCTCCTGATGGAGGAGTGACTTGAGGGCCTGGAAAGGGCTGCTACTGCCTCTTTCCTCAATACCAGCTGTGGTCTGTGCCCCCAGGCTTCTGTGACTTTGCTTTTCCTGCAGCTTTGGCAAGAGCCCCTGAATTCTCCTTTCAACTGTCCTTACAGACCTTCTCCTTCATGAAATCCAACACTCTGCTGGGTCTGCTCTCTGCTCCAGACAGGCCTTGTAACAGGACCCACGCAGGCCAGGGTAGGCATCTTGGGGCAGCTGGGAAGCCCATGCTGCTGCTTTCCAGGGCAAATGAGGCCATGCCCGCTCTCTACCTGGTATCTCCTTCCTCATGGACTCACGTGCCCTTGGGCAGCATCCAGGAAGGGCAGGGAAAGGCACACAGGCTCATCTGGCAGGTGGAGAAACCCCTTTTCCTGGTGCCACTTCGTCTGGACAAAATTATCAGTCCCATCAGCCACGCTTGTCCACAACTGCACACCATGAGGCTTTCCTCTGAGCTGTCTCTTTCTCTTCCTTTCCCAGCCTGACCTGCTGAATTTCAAGAAAGGCTGGCTGACCAAGCAGTACGAGGACAGCCAGGTGAGTTGGTGGAGCTCCTATGACCTTGAGGACTGAAGCAGGTGTGAATTCTTGCTGACCTTGTCCCTGGTGGGATCTGTGAGCCCTAGCTCCATCTCCCTACCATTGGCACACTCAACTCATGGAGCAGGACTAGCCAGGAACCCCACCTGCTCACAGTGCAGGTGCACAGATCCCGTGGTCATGGTGGCAGGGACCCTGGGAAGGCACCACTTGGCTCTGCTGGCTGCCTGCAGTGTCTCTTGGCCTTAGGCCTGAGGACATTCTATAGCGTTCGCCCCCACCACCTAGGGGCCCAGGGACAGAGAAGGCCTCTGGCAGTGGGGCTGACATTTGTTATTGTACAAAGCAACCAAAGATGGTCACCTAAGATGGCAAGACCCTGTGTGTAAGAAATCAGCTCTGTTGCAATGGCACCATTAGGCCCTGGTGGGAGCAAATGTAGTCCATTCTTGCTGCCAAATCCAAGCAGGTAGAGCTGTTTGCAGCTGGGCCTGACAAGGGTCTGAGGCTAAAAGTCCTGGCCGCCTGAGGAGGCGTGAAGAGGATTCTGCAGGGTCTACACCCAGGAGACCCTAACCCTGGCCCATCCTGGCTTCCCCTCTGCCAAGACATCCTCTCTCCCCTCCATATCGGATCCCTTTGGCCTTGCCTGAAGACTCAAGGTCCCCTCCTTGCTGCTCACAGTGAAGACTTGGTACCACTTCTGCTGGTGCAGGTGGGACATGCCCATCTGGGGAGCCAGTCAGATGGCCATGGCTCTTGGTGCCATTTCACAGCCACCTTTCCATTGTGATGGTCTGCAGACTCTGGAGGGGGGGACGGAGGCCTACAAAGCACTTGGTCACCAGCTGTACCACTGTGGATCACAGAGAACCCCCAGCTAAGGCCACCCCACTGTCTGCTGCCTTTTCACAGAGGAGCCACAGCTTAGCAAGCCTCCCTGAGGTTGAGCGCATGGCTGCCTGCATCTGAGCAGTCTGTGTGCTACGTGCCATGTCGGGGGTTGAGGCTGCCCTTTGCTTACCCTGCGTTCTGGAAGGTACTCCTGGACGCTGGCTCTAGGGCACCCTGGAGTGGTAGTTGAATTTTGTTGTTTGTTTCTTTCTTTCCTCTTAGTGGAAGAAACACTGGTTTGTCCTGGCAGATCAGAGCCTGAGGTACTACAGGGATTCCGTAGCTGAGGAGGTGAGTGACTGGCTCTATTCCTCTGGGAGAAACCTGAGGGCGCAGGTGGCATCTTGGAGCTTGAGGCTCTCGCTGCTGTTGCTTTCTCGTGGGCTGATGTCCCTGTCTGTCTGGGAAAGAGTGTTCCTGCTGCCATCTTAGGTGTCCTGGTCTTCGTCTGGTGGGAGCAGCCAGACCAGCTTTAACAGCTCATGACTCTTCTTCCTGCCTGTGACAGCAGGCTTTCCTGAGACCCTGTTCAGGTACCTCGGCACAGTGGGCTTTGGTCACTCCCGTGTTTCTGTTCTTTGAAGAACACTGAAATTTGAATACTCAGGATGAGCAATCTGATTGTTTCTACAAAGAGATTTGTGATGAATTGAGTCGTTGGAGGAATTGAACTAAATCTTGTCCTGTCTTTTGAATAAGGATGGCATATGGTGGAAGAATTCGGTTGGGACCTTAACAGTCCTAAGACCATGACTGAAGACCAACTGGGACAGACTCTTTTCTTCACCTATCCCTAGAAAACACCCCCTTTTGAATAATCTAGAAAGTCTGTGTGCTTAATTTTCGCTGCTAATTCTACTCAGAATCCTTCAGTTGCACCCATACATCTAGAAAAAGATCTCAGTCTCAAGTTAGCCATTCTCAGACCTTTGTAGTAAAAAGTGGGAAAGAACCTGAATATCCATCATTAAACAGTGTTCTTCATATTTAAATATTCTGAATTGGTCTGCGTGGACTTGAAGGGGGAAGATGTTGCCAGAAGGATGTAGGTGCAAAGTGTTGTGGGCAGCAGGCTCTGCTGTGTCCAAAATCAGCGTTCTGTGATCTCAAGAGTGGTCTGCAGACCCCTGGAGACCCTGAGTTCCTTTCTGGAGAGCTGTGATGGTCAAATGCTTATAATAAAAACTTTTTTTGTGGTGTTGATGTCTGCATTGAGGTACAGAAGCAGTGGTAGGTGAGACCCCAGCACCTTGGCACAGGCTGCAGCAGTCACTGTGTTCACACTGCCAACAGTCATGGTGTTTAAAAACAAACCGAGTCTTGCTCAGTGGCAGAGTGCTTGCCTAGCATGTCTGAGTCACTGGGTTCAATTCTCAGCACAATAAATAAATAAATAAATACATACATACATACATACATACATACATACATACAACTAATAAAAAATATTTTTAAAAAAAGCCGAGTCTTAATTGGGCAGTAAAGGTTAGTAATTTTATTAAGCCTCAACCTTTGAATGCCTGTCTTTTTTGTATTCTGTGATTTAAGTGGGAATTCAACATCAACCACAGCCACAGGCTCTTATGGAACACACTTGGGCTGTTGAGTTGTGAGCTGAACTAGCCATGTCTTTGTGCAACACCATTATTATTTGAAGAAAGAGCTGACAAACTGGTCATTCAGTATGTGAGTTAGAAAAACTTTTTTAAAATCAAGAACCTATTCCTACCAGGTGTGACAGTGCACACCTGTAATCCCCAGCTACTCAGGAAGCTGAGGCAGAAGCATCACAAGTTACAGGCAAGCCTGTATATCTTAATGATATCCTGTCTCAAAAAACAAAAGGGGCTGGGGATGTAGTTCAATGGTAGAGAACCCCTGGGTTTAATCCCCAATACCAATACTAATTATAGTACTAGTAAATAATAATAAAAGAACCTGTTCTTTCAAGGAAAACAACTGACAGTTCATTGCCAGTAGTACAATTTCAGCTTTTATGAAAAAATTAATATAAAGAGAACAAATAAATTTTTTTTAAAAAGGAATATTAGGCTGGGCATAATGGTATAGTTTGTAGGTCTACTGGGGAGGCTGAGGCAGGAGGAACACTTAAACCCGGAAGTCAGAGGCCAGTCTGGGCAATGTAGACTCCATCTCAAAAAAGTAAAGAAAAAAATGATAAAAGAAAAAGGTAAAAGTTAGAACTTCAAAAAATTCCTATTATATCATGAACTTGACAGCTTCCCTTTTACTTGAGGACTTCTCAGATGAAATTGGTGATGATTTAACAAATGTGACATTTTGATCCCACATAAATGAACTATGTGGATGTTTGAAAGCTATGTACAACCTAATGTTTTCCAAGTGACACCTGTTACAGCATCATGCCTGTCAAAAGATATATCCAAAGGGCAGGATAAACTGTGCACTTAATATAACAACACAGAAAACTCACTGATGGGATTGCATATTTCACAGTTTACTTTTGAGAAACTACTGCTTGTCAAAGAGTCCATAGTTAGCTGGAAAGACTGTTAAAATCCATCCTTTTCCAACTCTGAGACCACATTGTCTTAATGAACTTCAACTAAAACAATACACTGAACAGACTGAATGCAGAAAGAACCCACAGACACAGAAGAGAAGACAGAAGCCAGACACAGAAGAGATTGCAGAAATTCAAAACAGTGCCACTTTTATCATTGACTTCTAATCATATTTTTAATTTTAAAATGAAATGAGTTTGTTTTTATTTTTAAATAAACAGTTTAAAATGTTCAGCTTTAATTTTTAATGTAAATATCATAAGTAGATAATCTGCACATACACAAAAACTCTTTGCTTTTAAAAGAGTCCTAACCAACACATTTAGGCCCTCCGGCAGGCATGGACTATCTTTAGCCAGATACCCAAGAATATGGTAGTAGGGATGCTCCTGGGGAGGGACCTGGGTCCTACAGTGGTGGGGAGATGTAGTCAAGGTCTATTCCCATTAAAGACTTAGTACAAGGGAAGGTGCTCATCTAGACATTGGCTCCTCCAAAATCTCTTTAAGACCCCCTCATTTCTCTCTGCAGGCAGCTGACTTGGATGGGGAAATTGACTTGTCCACATGTTATGACGTCACAGAATATCCAGTCCAGAGGAACTATGGCTTCCAGATACACGTGAGCCCAGGGGAAAGGGGGTACACGGGCTTGACCAGCAGGGATGTATCTTGGAGAACCTGATGTCTCAGCGGGCCCCCGATGGGAGGGCTAAGTCTTTTCCATTGGTGTTGACTCCTGTCCCTGTGGCCCTTGGCCTCCAACCCTAGAGCGTAATGTGACACAAAGGTGGACATCTTTTCTCTCAATGCTGTTTAAAGACTTTTTTTACTGAAGCGTGGTGTTTTGTTGTACTGAGGATTAAACAGGAGCATTCTACCTATGATCTGCATCCCTACCCCTTTTAGTTCTATTTATTTTTTATTTTGACACTGAGTCTTGATAAGTTGCTGAGGCTGTCCTCCTGGAACTCACAATCCTCCTGCCTCTGCCTCCCAGGTAGCTGGGGTTTCAGGACTGTGCCACCATGCCCCGCTCGTTTTTTTTTTTTTTTAATTTTGATGGAGTTTGGGGCCTTTAGAAGGATTAGGATATGGAGACTAAGAATAAAAGTGTTTGTTAATTATTTAAAAGAGAAAGGTTTTTATTCACTTATTCATTCATTCATATATTCACTTGCAAGTCTATTTTTTTTCCAAGATCTTGTGAACAGTGCTTTGCTTTTCTCTCAAAACAGTAACTTGTTGGACAAATGAAATAGTCACCATTGGCCATTACTATAGAATTACACTTGGAGTCAGCCCTACCCAGGATTAAGAGCACAGGACTGCCATATCCACTCTCACCTCTCACACCAGTTGCAAGTTTGGGGGTTTCCAAAGTAACCTTGAACTTCAAGAATTCTCTAGAATGACTCAGAGCACTAAGGAAAGCACTAACTTTAAAATTATAGCAGAAGGGTACAAATTAGAATCAGTCAATGGAAGGGACACATAGGGTAGAACCTGGGACCTGGAGGGTCCCAGAATATCTGTGTCCTTTGGGGACACTGTACCCTCTTGGCCTTGTCAGGAAACAATACACAGAGCATTTCCAGATCGCTAGCCTGGACCTCAGTGTCCAGTTTTCATCAAACTTTCATAACGTTGTAACTAGTTGAGTTTTCATCTTGGCACCTGGTCTCCATCTTTAGCCCCCAGCCCACCAAAGTCACTTTACACGGCCCAGTCTTAACCCTCTGAGTTCACGGTTGGATTTTGGTTTTCTGAAACAGCCAGCCCCTCCCCGGGTAGTCTTGACAGTATCAGCTGTCAGGTGGGGACTCAGGAATTTGTCATAGGTAATGCTCCAATCACTCAGGCAGGATTTACAGGTTACCTCCCAGGGGCTTGGGACAGAGGCCAGGCCTCCCTTTGGATGAAGCCTCTTGGTTTTCTCTCGTAAGAGCCTTCAGATTGGTGGCAGTAGGAGAGTCGTCTCCCACAGGGCAGGCTCTGGGACTTGGTTTCTCATAGGATGCTGGACACTGGTGGACTCACTGTAGCAGGTTTCACCTTCCTATCTGGGGGCCCAGAAACTCAGTTGCGCTTACTTCCTGTGTGTCGCTATGCTCAGAGTTGACCAGGTACTTTGGGACAGACTTAGACCCACCAAATTCAGAGGACATGGAAAGCCAGCTCCGGTGGCAGATGTGTTAAAAGCCCACTGCCACCCTGGGCAACTGTCACGGCTTTCCTTCACATGCGGTCTGTACCACGTCATGTGGAGTGGCACTGGAGGCCTGCTTCCAGGGCTGGTATGGTTTGGTTGCTCTCAGCAGCTCACAGGGCCCTGCTGCAGTGTTTTTCTGCCCCTCAATCCCTATGGGAGGAGCAGAGCACTCCATGAGCCCCTCTCCAAGATCCCTCTCAGGGCCAGACCTGGTGTGGGCTGTGGCTTTGGGGGCCCCTGCTAGCCCCAGCACCCCAGTCTTGGTCAGCAGGCATTGGGGCAGGGCGTCCTGCAGTTGAGCTCACCCACTCTTTTCTAGTGATGGCAAGGACACTAGACCTGGTAGGGCTAGGTGTGGATAGGTGTGGCCACTTTGCCTCTGTGGCGATAGACCCTCCTCATTGCTCTGACTGGGGACTTACTTTTGAGTTTTCATCTTGGCACTTGGTCTCCATCTTTAGCCCCCAACCCACCGTGCCTGCCATGAGCCCCAGGGGCTGCAAGCCTGGATCAGGACAGGCTGTTTTCATCCTGCTCTACTTGGAGAAGGTTCTGCTCTAAGTTGGTAGAAAGCACCCGCGTGATATAACCGGTGACTGTATGCTAGGGAATTGTGTCTGCAGCACTTGCAGGGCAGCAAAAAGGGGTACAGGTCAGGTAGGTTCTGTGGTGATGAGCAAAGAAGGAAGGAGGGGAGCTGAGCAGCAGGAAGAGACATGAGAGGAGGGGGCAGTGGGGGCCCGTGAGGCCCACAGAGAAGCTGCCCAAAGAGCTGACTCGGGAAACAGGTGCTCTGGAACCTGGTGGGTGGTGCGTTTGAGGCTGTGATGGGCTCTCTCAAGAACACGTATCAGACAAGTGCCGTCCTGAAGCTGGAAAGAGGTCAGCTAGAGATGAGGCCCATCACAGTGGGGCTCTGTAACTAGAGACTCCAGAAGTGCCCTACTGAGGGGTGGAGAGGGAGACCCCCAGAGGTGTGAGTGTGCATCCCGGGCTGCAGCCTGGAGAAGAGTGGGGTGTGGCCTGGGGCTTGGTCCCTGGTGAGGAAGAGACCAAGTTGATCTGTGCTTGGCAGCTGGCATCTGGGCCAGCATGTGATCGTTGGTGTGACTCCTGTGCCAAAGCCATCGTGGTGATGGCATCTTCCTGCCAGTCGCTGTGTCTGTGGTGGGGTCTGAGCAGCCTGGGTGGCCAGTAGGATGGTGTGTAGCCTTCCCTTCGCTAGGTGCAGGAAGATGACTCGGGGAGCTGCTGGCCGCACGTCATGCACCTGTCCTTTCTGAAGGTGCTTGAGTAGAGCTGCATGGGGATGCAGGGATCGTGTCCCTAAGGCCATGTCCCTGGGCTCTGCCTAGGAGTCCCTGATGGAGTGAGTGCCTGTCATCCTCTGTCAGCTCACAGGTAGCTGGTGTAGAGCAAGAGTTCAGTACATGTGTGCTAGCCCTGTAGGGGCAAAGGCTCCATCTGCCACTTCTCTGAGAGTCTGCCCCATGCAGCTGTTGACTGCTAGCCTCTGCCTTCCTCCCTGTAGAACCTGGTCTCTGCCTAGTACAAGGATCTCCCCTGGAGGTAGGAGGTGGCAGTCATCTCCAGGGACCAGTCACTGGGTGACACCTGTGTCTTTTGTATAGACAAAGGAGGGCGAGTTCACACTGTCTGCCATGACTTCTGGAATCCGGAGGAACTGGATACAGACCATCATGAAGCACGTTCACCCAACCACTGCCCCAGATGTGACCAGGTGAGATAGTCGGGGATGCCTGAGGGAGCCCCTCACGCCTCTTATGGGGACCCTCTGGCTCCTGCTAAGGGAGCTACAGTTTTGGATCTGTTGTTCCCCTGGACCTGAGCCTGGCTACCTCCCAGCACAGCTTCCTTCCCTCCCTCTTCTGTCCCACAGTTGGCTGGCCCTGCTTGGTCTCCTTGTGGCTCTCTGGTTTTTCTGTCCCAGGCTGGTTTATCCTCTTTTACTGGCCAGGTCAGCCATGCAGGTCACCTTTGTGCCCATTGGTAGAACTGTGCTTGACAGAGAGTCTTCTTAGTCTCTCTCTCGGCCCAGGCCTGGGCTTAGGCTGTGCCGTGGGCCCTGTCTAACTACTGTCCTCTGGCTGGCGAGGGCAGTCCCAACACTGCAAGGCACAGGCCACCATAGCTTTGCTCTTCCTTGGTTTCTTTTCGCCTCACTCCGACATCTGTTTGATTTCTGTGCAACCAGGAAAAGCTTCTCTCTGAGACTCTCACTGCTGAAGCCCAAGCTGGAAAAGTGTGTTCTCTCCTGTGTTAGCATTCTGTGGTTCGTATCCCTTGGGACCCACTGCATGCCTTCCTCCTCCTGCCCTGGAAGTTAGAAACCTGCCACCAGTTTGCATTTTCAGAGAAAGTGGAAACAGCTCCACTGTGCAGGGTCTGGCTCTGTGTTGGCCAAACACTGCTGTGCCCACCTGAGGCCACAGAGCCACCATGTGTTCTGAGCATCTCCCGTGCCTTCCTCTGCTGGGGAGGCTCAGGGTGTTTCTGGCTCCAGAGGTCAAGCTGTGGCAGGCAGCACAGTGACGGCAGTGGCTGTTGTGGTCTGCAGCAGCCTCTCCCACGTCTGTGCTTGGTCAGAATCTTCACCTCCCTCCAGAGGCTGACTCCATCCCCTCTGAACAAGAAGGAAACTTGACCACCCCTTTACTTCAGGCCCCTTTTCCCTCATACATTCCTTCCTTCCTTCATTTGCCAGCAGTATCTAGTTGTTCCTATATCATAAGGTCAGGAGGTTATGGCCCAGCTCAGCAGCCCTCCTGCTGTCTCTTGGGAGCTTGGCAGAGGGCTGCTGCTTGCTGGTTTTCATCCATGAGCCCTCCAAGTCAGGAGCAGAGCCCGCAGTGCCAGGTGCCCAGCGCTCTTCCCAGCTCCCATAAAAGGCCTCACAACAGAGCGAGAAAGGCACCTGTGTTGCCTGCCCAGGCTGCGCAACAGATGGTGCGGCTGTGTGCTCAGGCGGGCAGTGGATGCGAGAGGGCAGGTAGCCTGCTGTCCTCTTCTGCCAGGCCTGGGCTGCATGCTCAGGTTGAGGGTCCTGGCTAGAAAAAGTCAGTGTTGGAATATTTGGGGGCAGGTGCCAAGAGGACGCTTGTGCGCACCATGTGCTTGCATGCAGCCTGGAAGGGGTGGTCTCCTACATGGACGTTCCTATTCCCCTCCAAGCAGTGACTATGGTCTCTGGGGAACAAGATGGAGGCCAGTGTTGTGCTTTCATACCAAAGTGGGCCTGACTTGGTCTTCCTGACTAGAGTGGACCTCACAGGCTAGTGGATCTTAAAGTCGGTAGAGCGCCCCCCCTCCCGTTTGTTTTTGCTTGTGTTCTTCTATGTCAGCTCTCATGAGCTGAGGAAAACTTGAATTGTTTTACCACTACAAGGCCAAGCTCCAAGAAGTATTACATGCAAAGGTGACAGTGTCAGAGCTGCTGGCCTCATTCTGTTTCTTACTGCTGTCTTGCAGTCTGGTGGGGAAGTCACAGGGCACTGGCCTTGGAGCTGGAGAAGCCTTGAGGAGAGGCGGCTTCTGGAAGCATGTCTGTCACACCCACCTGCACTCACGTGTCATCTCCCCCAGTGCTAAGCCTAAGCCAGCTCGCTCTCGACTCCAGGCCCGCTCTGGGTCATTTTCCTTTGCATGTGTGTGTGGCCTTCAGTTGGACTCTTGCCAGTCATGCTGCTCTGAAGCACTCTGATCCTTCCTGTGTGTCAGAACAGGTGGTCCCAGGGGCATGGGAAGTGCTTCCTTTTCCCTGGGGGCCCTTTCACATCCTCCTTTCTGTTTGGTTTTAAGGTAAACACAGGTGCTCCTGGGTGCTCCCCCTGGGCCTTCACTGTCCCCAGGTTTCTTCCAGTTCTTTTCTGAGGCTTGGACAAGACCAGGGAGCGCTCTGCTCAGCCTCAGTTTGGCTGGCAGTCTCTGGGACTCTTTCCTTGTAGCTCAGAAGCTTCTGCCCTTGGAGATGTCCCCCACCTTCCCCTGCTCAAGTAGAGGCCTCCCCAGAAATCTTCCCTTTGGAGCAAATCCAAGAAAGGCAAGAGTTCTTCAGGCCAACCAGCTTCATCCCAGCCTCTGCTGGGCAGGCCAAGGTGCCAGGGAGCGTGACCTGTGCAGCCTACCACCCTGGTCACCTCTCCTTGTGTTACCTTTCCCTGCTCCCCACTCCCCACCCAGCCCTTGGGTCACTGTGTGGTGGGAGCTTGTCATGGCCTGGGCTACCTGTTCGCTTGCCCCACAGGTAGTCTTGGTCTTTGACACACTTGTCATGCCAGTGGCAGAGAAGGCTTTTAAAACAGAGCTGATCGTGTCACCTGCTTTTTGAACCCTCTGAACCCTTCTTGGGAAGTGGCTGGTTCTTGTCTATTCCGTCACCAGGACAGGGTTGCCCCAGAGTCAGTGCCACTGCTTGGTCAGTGGCTGGGCTCCTCTTACCTCTGTGGCTCACTGGAGTTCCCCGGGCTACTCTTCTTCATCGTTTTGGTAATGGAGGCACCATGACACTCGTCTCACAGCATCTTCTCAGTTAAGGGGTGCATGCTGGAAACCTTGGAAACATCTGAGGCTCTTTCTCCTACTCCCCATCAGAAGCAGGTTTAGGTTCTCCAAGGGAGGGAAGCTGAGTACAGGTGGGTCTTTCCTTTCTGCTGTACTTAGGAAGTTGCACTTGGGATAGAAGACAGATGTGAAGCAGGTGTGGGCTGGGCCATAGCTCACCTTTGCTGGCTCTGTAGTGGGGCTGGGGTGTCTCAGGCCCCCCTGACAGATGCTGTTACCCCCTTACCCCATAGCTCATTGCCTGAGGAAAAGAACAAGAGCAGCACATCTTTTGAGACCTGCTCAAGGCCAAGTGACAAGCTTGAGACAGAACCAGGGGAGCCAGATCCTGAACAGAAGAGGAGCCGTGCACGTGAACGAAGGCGGGAGGGCCGCTCCAAGACCTTTGACTGGGCTGAGTTCCGCCCCATCCAGCAGGCCCTGGCTCAGGAAAGGGCCAGCACTGTGGGGCCTGCTGATGCCCATGAACCGGGGCACCTTGAGGTAGAGCCAGGGGAGCTGGAGCGGGAACGTGCACGGCGGCGGGAAGAACGCCGAAAGCGATTTGGGATGCTGGACACTGCAGATGGACCAGGTGCTGAGGACATGACCCTGCGAATGGAGGTTGATAGGAGCCCAGGGTTGCCAGTGGCCACTGACCTCAAGACACAGAATGTCCATGTGGAGATTGAGCAGCGGTGGCATCAGGTGGAGACCACTCCTCTCCGGGAGGAAAAACAGGTGCCCATTGCCCCCCTGCACCTGCCCTCCGAGGATGGAAGCGACCGACTCTCCACTCATGAGCTGACATCCCTGCTGGAGAAGGAGGTAATGGTGGGCCAGCTTCTCCGGTACAGCAGCCTGTCCTGAGCAGTCTGTGCCCAGCTGTGGCCTGTGGGTTCAGCCATGTAGTCTCCCCCTCAGGATCCACAGACCCCTAGAGGACATGGGTGCATAGACAGGTCTTTAGAGTGGAGGTGGGGGACTGAGCACAGCAGGTTGCCTGTTTGGGATGGGGAAGGTGTGGCAGGCCTTTCCTGAAAGATGGAAGAATTCATGGTGCGTGTGGACCTAAGTAGCCGGATGCAAGGCTGATTGACTTGCAGGGTCCAACTGGTGGTCCTTTTTTCCCCATTATAAGGCATAAGCTGGAGGTTTTAAGTGGCAGGGCATGTGATTTTGATCTGCCCAGGCATTGCTAAGAGGTGTGGGTTGAAGCTGGAAGTAGAGAGACGGCCTGGGTGCTTTGTCAGTGACCTGAAGGGCTAGCGAGCAGACCCCAGGAGATATAGTTAGGACCAAATACTTAGGATGTAGAGGTGGGGTGTAGTGAGGTAAAGCTGGGCAGGCAGATCTAGGACACCAACATAGAGCTGCATGAGCCAACTGTATGCTCTCTCAGAAATGTATATCAGGATAAATCTGCAAAACCTCTTTCCACAAGGGATTTATATGCCTTGCTAGCAAGTTCCTTGGCCAAGGAAATTGCAGGGTAAGCATCCCTAGTCCAAAAATCCAAAAAACTTAAAAGTCCATAACTTTTTAAGGTCCAACATGTCACCACAAGCAGAAAATTCTATACAATGAAGCTTTGTTTCATGCACGAAATAATTAAAAATACCGTTTAGGGAGTTGGGTATGTCACTCATTGGTAGAGCACTTGCCTGTCATCTGTGAAGCGCTGGGTGCAATTTGCAGCACTGCCAACACACACACACACATAGACACCCAAATGCAGTATAAAATTACCTTCAGGCTGCATATACTAAGGTGTAGATGAAACCTAAGTGGATTTTGTGTTTAGACTGAGCTCATTTCATATAAGCAAATATTCCAGAATCATGAAAACTTGAAATCTAAAAAAAACACTTCTAGTCTGAAGCATTTTGGATAAAGGAAGTCTTTGTTCCACCTGCCCCTTAGGGATGCCCTTCAACAGCAGGCTTCTCCTACATCCACCGCGTCAGCATGCCTCACATGTCTCTTCTGGTTTTGTATTTGATTTATGAGTTAATAGTCATCACTAACATCAACACTTTGACTTTTCCATTTTATACACTTGCTAATAAAATAATACAGACAAGATGAGATAAAATAGTTCAAACTCACATGACTCTAAGCTACCAAAAAAAACATACTAGCCTTTAGGCCACACACTGAATCACCTGTCTGTGGCTTCACGATCTGGGGTTGGTCTTTAATGCTTCACAACTGAGGATTTCCTGCTTCTTGCAGCCCAGCCAGGCAGCACACTGACTCCCTGCTGCTCAGTTGGCTCCTGACCACCAACCCCAGGAGGGCAGAGCACACATAGGAGCTAGAAGGTTTGGGGGAAATGGGAGATGGACACATGAGTGAACTACAGCTTTTCAAAGTGAGAGGAGTATAAAATAGCTTATAGGTTTCCACATCTTGGTCAGATTTGGGGGGATGAGGGGGTACTGGGGATAGAACTCAGGGTCCCTCAACTACTAAGCCACATCCCCAGCCCTACGGTTTCCACATCTTGTTGAGGAAACTACAGGAACCTTTTTGCAAACAGAATTTCCTGTGACATACATCATGTATAGCTGATCAAACAGTCATTTCAAGTTGGAGCCACTCAGGCCTGTGGTGGCCCCTGTTGAGGACAACATGACCATTCCAAGGACCCCCAAAGACCCTGTTGGGTGGTCTCTTCTAGTGAAGATGGAAAGCCCTTAGTTCTCAGTGGGGCACACAGCCTGCTTCTCAGAAAGGAATTTCCTGCACAGGCCTTGGGACCTGTGGAGGGCCTACATGGTGAAACCATTAGTGCATGTGGAGGTTTGTGAGTACCAGGGTTACCTAGGGTAGGAAGGACAAGCCTGTCCCTTGGCCCTCCCAGGGTAGTGGCTGCCAGTGTCATTTGTGGCCTGGAGCTGGAAGCTTCAATTCTGGTACTGCAGGTATAGGCCAGATACACACATCCCTTGGGAACAGGAGACCCCAGAATCCTGAACAAATGAAGGAGGCACCCATAGCAGGCCTGCTGCCTTCAGGAGGCCTCCAGGGGCCTGTGCTGTGTGGCTGCTTTGGTTTATTATTGTCACGTTGCTTAAGAAAATATCTTTATGCCAACAGCTGGAGCAGAGCCAGAAGGAGGCCTCGGACCTTCTGGAGCAGAACCGGCTCCTACAGGATCAGCTGAGAGTGGCCCTAGGCCGTGAGCAGAGCGCCCGGGAGGGCTATGTGCTCCAGGTAGGGGGCAGAGCAGTTGCTGAGGCCCAGAGTACAAACAGGGGCTTCAGTGTGAAGGGCAGATGCTGGGGCTGGGCAGGCTAGGAATGTGCAAACCCCAGGGGAGCTCACACTTCAGCTTTTCTGCAGAAAGACCAGGACTCTGAATATGCAGGGGCCTCTGGTTTGTTTTTCCCTCCTACTGTGACATTTTGAGAAACGGGCCTGAAACCTCTACATTGAAGGGTTTTATTATAATGAAATCATTTTGGTGATCTCTCCTTTTGGCTCTCAAAGTAGCCAGTGTTTCTTATGAATACCATACATCTGCATGCCATGACCCATTGTTCTCACAAAAGTAGGATCAAGCCCATTTTACAGATTGGAGAAATTGAGTCACTCAACAAGTTGGTGCCTGCTTATGACCATTAGCGAGTTAGTCACAGATCTAGAACTGGACCCCATCCCTGCCCATGTCGCTGGGAACGTGCAGACCTGGGCTATCACTACTGGCCTAGTGGCTGTGCTTCTTACTTTCTGCCTAGGCTGAAATTTCAGGAGTCCATGACCCCAGCCCACAGCTCAGGGTGAAAATCAGAAGGGTGGCAGCCTGGGTCCTAAGCTGACAACCCACACCTGGTACCCTTTCCCCAGAGGTGTGTGCCACAGAGTCCCAACCCACCACCAGACCCACAGTGTGGCCACCCTGATGGGCATGTGAGGTGGGAGGTGGCAGGTGTGAGGGCAAACAGCCTGGGTCACTGTCCAGCCTCATTCTGGGCCCTGTGCTAGCTCTGAGGCACAAAAAAAGACATGCCCCTGCCCCCACGGTACTGTTGATGAATTAGTTCTGGAAGGGAGTGGGGTGGGGTGACAGAACCAGGATTGAAGCTCTCAGTGAAAGCTGAGAGTATGGCATTGGAGTCAGGATTCTGAGTTCAAGAACTGACCCAAGAAGCAAGTGTTCCTCCCCCCTGTATCATCAGCTCCCTGCTGGTGTAGACCTAGTGATCCCGAGGGCCCTTTGACTCTGTTGCCCAGAGTCTCTGGTGAGTTGGTTGTCAGCATTTCTAGATTGTCACCCACTAACCTCTGTGTGAGGTGTCCCAGGTCTGCCTTCCTGCCTTTCCTCCCACCGTCTCTGCTCCTGCACGTGCCTTTGGCCTTCTTTCTCCCCCACATGCCTGCACCTTCCTCCCCTGCCCCTTTTAGTACATTCAGTGCCATGCCCAGTTCAGACTCTAAACCCATGGCAGCTGTCCTCCTCCTACATGTCCCACTCTGAGAACCTTGAGGTCATTTGTGCAGGCCCTCCCTGTTGGAGAGTATCTTTCTAAGCCTTGGTCGGGCCCCATCCTCCAAGAACCAACTTGGGTCAAGTGGTAAATGCACTACAGTGGGCTTTGCACATTGCTAACCTGGGAACGTTGCTGTGTGTCTGATGTGGACCATCACATCAGCCTTGTTAGCCACGGGTGGGCTGCTCTTCCTAACTTCCTGCTGCATCTAACAATGGGGGACTCTGCACCACCCCTGAGCTTTGGAAAGGCAGGAGCCTTGGGCCCGAGCATCAAGAGGTGTGATGCTGGGAGGGTGCTGCACTAACCGGTGGGAGGAGCTTGCATGGTTTGATGTTGAGTGTGAGTTTAACTGGAACTTAACATAACTGAGTGTCACATCTGTGGCTTCCCCACCAGTAGACCAGGAAGGAACCTGAGCAGGCCAGATTGTAGGCGGGACTCTCCTCACTCTTTTTCATGTTTTTTTTTCTCTTGCATTATATTAGTTCTGTCCATTCTGCATGCCTTTTACCTGGGGGAGTTTTCTTTCTTTTGTGTTTTGTTTTTTTGCATGCTTCACTCTCTTATTTTAAACTCCACAAAGGTTTGTTTTTGTTGATTATACATTTTACTCCATGGTTTGCGTTCCCCTCGTTTTGTCTTCTTACAGGTAGAGATTAGTTCTTCCTGTTACTGTGGAGGCCTGGCTACGCTTTCCAAAGGACAGTGTTCCAGATGTCACCTCACTGACATCTCCCGGGTGGTTACCTTCCTTCCTTCTCTCCCTGTCTTGGAAGGAAGTGACATCACTTACCTGCACCTTGCCGTCCTGCGCTTGTTTAGGATTTGTGGTCTAGAACTGTGTATCTTTTGTTTTGCAAAACAGATGCAGGCGCTGTGCTCCCTGTCCCGCTTCCCGCCGTCCTCTCGTCCTTCAGTCTGTTTTGCTTCTCAGTGTGTTCCATTACTCAGTTTTGTTTGGTTTATTTCTCCTAGAAGCTGTTCGGTTAGAGCTGTATTTTGATGTTATTGTCCATGTTTTCTGTTACCTGGAAACAACTTACCAAAAAATAATCATAATAATTAAGATAATTCGTTGGAGTTTTTTAAATGGGAAAAAAAAAAAAAGTTGTACAAAGGATAAAAGGCAAACCCACCAAGGAACTTTTCTGTGGTTGATCTTGGCCAGAGGTGTGACACTCAGAACGGGGAGGCCCGAGTGTTACTAACCAGTATTTAATCGATTTTTTTAAGACTGAAGTGGCCACCTCCCCGTCGGGTGCCTGGCAGAGGCTCCATAGAGTCAACCAAGACCTCCAAAGTGAGCTGGAAGCCCAGTGCCAGCGGCAGGAGCTGATCACGCAACAGATACAGACCCTGAAACGTAGCTATGGGGAGGCCAAGGATGCGATCCGGCACCACGAGGCCGAGATCAGGAGCCTGCAGGCGAGGCTCGGCAACGCCGCCGCTGAGCTGGCCATCAAAGAGCAGGCACTGGCCAAGCTCAAAGGCGAGCTGAAGCTGGAGCAGGGCAGGGTCCGTGAGCAGCTGGAGGAGCGGCAGCACAGTGAGGCCGCGCTGAGCGGCCAGCTGAGGGCCAGCGAGCAAAAGCTCAAGAGCGCAGAGGCCCTGCTGCTAGAGAAGACTCAGGAGCTGCGGGACCTGGAGATGCAGCAGGCCCTACAGCGGGACCGGCAGAAGGAGGTACAGAGGCTACAGGAGCGCATTGCTGACCTCAGCCAGCAACTGGGTGCCAGCGAGCAGGCCCAGCGGCTGATGGAGGAGAAGTTGCAGAGGAACTATGCGCTGTTGCTGGAGAGCTGCGAGGAGGAGAAGCAGGCACTGCTACAGAACCTGAAGGAGGTGGAGGACAAGGCCAGCGCCTATGAGGAACAGCTGCAGGGCCATGCGCAGCAGGTGGAGGCTCTCCAGAAAGAGAAGCTTAGTGCCAAGTGTGAGGGCAGTGAGCAAGTGCACCAGCTAGAGGAGCAGCTGGAGGCCCGGGAGGCCAGCATCCGCCAGCTTGCTGAGCATGTGCAGAGCCTCCGTGATGAGCGGGACCTCATCAGGCAGCGGTTCCAAGAGCTGATGGAGCGTGTGGCCACATCCGATGGGGATGTGGCTGAGCTTCGGGAGAAACTGAGAGGAAGAGAAGCTGACTACCAAAACCTGGAGCACTCACACCGTAGGGTCTCTGGCCAGCTGCAGAGCATGCGCACTCTTCTGAGAGAGAAGGAGGAGGAACTGAAGCACATCAAGGAAGCACATGAGAGAGTTCTGGAAAAGAAAGAGCAGGACCTCAATGAGGCTTTGGTTAAAATGGTGGCTTTGGGGAGCAGTTTAGAGGAAACAGAAATTAAGCTGCAGGCAAAAGAAGAGATTTTAAGGAAATTTGCAGATGAGTCTCCGAAGGAATTGGAAGAGCCACAGAGCACCCCGGGAGAAACAGAGGACCGGGGTTTACTCTCGGGCCAACAGCTCCCAACCGCTGGGGCACCTCCAGGCTTACCCCACATGCGGTTGGAAGATGAAGACTCAGGAGCGGGGATGGGGGAAGAATGTGGGGATGGCAGCCCTAGCAGGGAAGAGAGTGCAGTGCCCCTGAAGTCCTTGGACGCTCCTGACAGGGAGGGGCATCCACAGAGCACAGCCAAACCCGACCAGGGAGCACCTGGTGTTAAAAGGCAAAGAATTCGGTTCTCCACAATCCAGTGCCAAAGATACATCCACCCTGAGGGGTCTGAGAAGACCTGGACCAGCAGCACGTCATCAGACACCAGCCAGGACCGGTCACCCTCAGAGGAGAGCATGTCCTCAGAGGTCACCCCTAACACGCTGCCTGTGGCCGGAGACTCCGAGACATACCTCTCCATAATCCACTCCCTGGAGACCAAGCTGTACGTCACAGAGGAGAAGCTGAAGGAAGTGACCGTGAGGCTAGAAAGCCAGCAGGGCCAGAGCCAGGAGGCGCTCCTCGCACTGCACCACCAGTGGGCCGGCACCGAGGCGCAGCTCCGCGAGCAGCTCCGCACCAGCCTGCTGCAGGTCAGCGCCCTGGCCTCCCAACTGGAGCAGGAGAGACAAGAGAGAGCCACGAGTATTGAGAGCCATGTTGGGGAGCTAGGGGACTTCCAGGCAAAAAACAGTCAGGCCCTGACATGCTTGGAAAACTGCCGCCAACAACTAAGGTCCCTGCCACACGCCGGCCAGGAGGATGAGCGGGAGGCACATGCGGCCTCCCTGGCCAGTGTGGAGAGCACACTCACGAGTGCCATCCAGGCCCTGCAGTCCTGGCCAGCCTCCACAAGTGGTGGGGCCCAGGCTGGGCAGGAGGAGGGGTGCTCCGTGGAGAGCAGGGTGGCGGCGCCTCTGCACCAGCACGTGCTGAGTGAGCAGGAGCAGGCAAAGCTGCTTTCTGACCAGATGGCCCTGGAGGCAGCCCTGATCGGCCAAATAGCAGACTCACTGAAGAGCACGACCTCAGACGTGTCTCGCCTTCTCCGTGAGGCTGCGTGGTCGGAAGAGCACTTGCTGGAGGGAGAGAGTCGTGCCATCTCTGCTGACGCCCCAGCAGAGGCCTGGGCCAGGAAGGTGCTGGTGGATGGCGAGTTCTGGAGCCATGTCGAGTCCCTGAGTAAACGCCTTGGGACACTGGGAGGAGAGGCAACCAGCTTATCAGGAGATGGGCAGCAGCATGTCCCCCAAGGCCTGGCCGATGCCACATGGGTCCGGGCAGAGCTCAGCTTTGCCACACAATTGGTGAGGGAGTCATTCCACCGTAGGCTGCAGAGTGTCCAAGAGACCCTGCGGGGGACGCAGACTGCCCTGCAGCGGCACAAATGTGTGTTGGGGGAAATCCTGGGAGCTTATGGAACCCCAGATTTTGAGAGAGTGATGCAGCAGGTTTCAGAAGCCCTCAGGCATCCAGAGGACAGTGTGGACAGTGTGCAGACATCCTGGGACCTGAGACTGTTAGGAGAAGTTCTGAGTCCAGACACAGACAGCTCCCAGGAACCCTTGCATGTGTCCCATCAGAGCCCTGGGGCCCTTGTTGCTATTCAGGAAGAGCTTGCCCAGCAGCTGAGAGAGAAAGCCAGCATCCTAAAGGAGATCGCTGCTGCTTTGCCAGCCCTGTCCCCTGCTGAGTCATTAAGGGATTGTCGGAAGCTTCTGCAGACATCTCAGACTCTCTCCTACAGTGCTTGTCTGGGAGGCCTGGGTCAGTATTCATCCTTACTGGTACAGGATGCAATCATTCAGGCTCAGGTGTGCTATGCGGCCTGCAAACTCCGGTTAGAGTATGAAAAGGAGCTTCGATTTTACAAGGAGTCCTGGCGAACCAGGGAGACCTCCTGCCAGGAACAGGCACAAGTGGTTGGGGCCCTGCGGGAGGAGTACGAGGAGCTCCTCCGCAAGCAAAAAAGCGAGTATCTGGAGGTGATTGCCCTCATAGAAAGGGAAAATGCCGAGCTCAAGGCCAAGGTGAGCCAGCTGGACCATCAGCAGAGGTGTTTGGAAGAAGCAGAGAGTAAGCACAGTGAGAGCATGTTTGCCCTGCAGGGCAGGTATGAGGAGGAGATCAGGTGTGTGGTAGAGCAGCTGAACCGCACTGAGAACACACTGCAGGCCGAGCGCAGCCGGGTCCTAAGCCAGCTGGACGCCTCTGTCAGAGACAAACAGGACATGGAGCGGCAGCATGTGCAGCAGATGCAGACACTGGAGGACAGATTCCAGCTGAAGATCAAGGAGCTGCAGGCCATCCACGAGGAAGAGCTAAGGGCCTTGCAGGAGCATTACTCACGGAGCCTGCTGCGCCTTCAGGAGACCCTCAGCCTCTGCCAGCAGCAGCGCCCTGAAGCCCTGCCAGCCCCCTCCCCCCGATGGCGGCCAGAGTCTGGGGCTGCCCCACAGGCAGCCCAAGGAGAAGCTGACTCCATGACAGGGCTGCGGGAGCGCATCCAGGAACTGGAGGCCCAGATGGATGTAATGCGCGAAGAGCTGGGCCACAAGGAGCTGGAGGGCGATGCAGCCACACTGCGGGAGAAATACCAGCGGGACTTTGAGAATCTTAAGGTCTTCAGCACTTAATTTGCTAAATTGATTCTACTTGCAGATGCAGGGAGGGGGGCTTCAGGGGCTGCCAGGGCTCTCAGGGCTCTCAGAGCTGGGTGGTATTTCTCCATTCTTGGCTGCCATATGGCCAGAATCAGATGCTGTTCTGCTATCCCTCTATTCATTGGTCGGGGTAGGGTCTGAGCATCACCCACCCAGAAGGAGGACCAGTGGAAAGAAGGCAGGGTCCCGGTGGAGAAGAGAGTGCAGTCCATGCTCCCAGGGCAGCCCCACCACCTCGTTCCACCCTCACAGAATCCAAGGCTGAGGCATCTGCCCGAGGACTGCCTTGTACTCTTCAAGTGCAGTCACGTTTTTCCTGACTGTCCTAGGAGTTGGATTTTCCCATATAGGACTATTTTCAAGTGTCAAGGGTCTCTTTTCTTTTTTTGTTCGTTTTGTGTTTTGGTGCTGGGGATTGAACCCCAGGGCCTTGTGCATACAAGGCAAGCACCCTATCAACTGAGCTATATCCCCAGCCCCAAGGGTCCCTTTTCTGTCCCAGCTACCTGTCAGTACCAGCACTGGGTAGGCACTTGTCTAAGAAGGGCTTTTCTCTGGACCACAGTTTCAGGCAGCTCCTGTTCCCTTCCCCAGTAGCTGCAAAAGAGACTGACCTCTACATCCACCTGTTTGGCACTGCCTTATAGGCCCTGGCCCACAGAGGTGGTGTCTCAGGCCGGGCCAGTGGAGCAGTCCAAATGCTCTGGCCACCCCCACTTTGTGACCTCACTGCAGTATGCACATAGCTGCCTGGGTATCATCCTAGAGGTTCTTGACATCCTTTAGACTCAACTTTGCCCCAGTAACTGTGCCCTCATTTCCCTCTTCCTCTGACAGGTATGTATGACACATGCCTAGGCCCTTCAGGCAGAGCCAACACTGATCCCCCTGTCCTTTCACAGGCAGTTGCTCCTGCCAGCCAACAACTACTTCTTGGCAGAACATGGTGACTGCTTCCCAATACCTTACTCTAGTGCTAAAAGTGACCGAAAACTGTCCTTATTCTTTGCCTCTGTGTGATGACCTAGCCCCTACCAAAGACAAGAAGGGGAGTCGGGAGCAAGCACTTCTCAGGCAGCCACGATGCTGCTCTCAGTCCAGGTTCCCTGCTCGGTCCAAGCCTTCAACCACCATCATGAACTGTGAGAACATTTTAGTGGCCGTTTTCCCCAGTTGCATATGCAGTGACCCTCTGGTTACTTCACTGAGTGCATCATCAGCAAGGTCTGGGTGTGCCTTTAAAAGTAAGTGGCACTGCCTATAATTCCAACTGCTGGGAAGGCTGAGTCTGTAGGATTCTAAGTTCAAGGCCAGCCTGGGCTACTTAGCAAGACCCTATTTCAAAAAGAATTAGGGGTATAGCTCAGCGGTAGAGCATTTGCCTGGCATGCGCAGGACCCTGGTTCAATCTCTGAGATCACAAAGCAAAAACTAAAAAGGAAAAGAAAGAGAAGAAAATGGCACAGACCTTGGTTTTGACCCCAGTTCACTTCTGGTGAGGGGTACTGGAGATGGAACTCAGGGGCACTCAACCACTGAGCCACATCCCCAGCCCCGTCCTGGGCCCAAGCGCTTCCAGCCCACGTATGGTATTCTCCTTGACCCTTAGACACATGCAGAGTTTATAACCAGCAAACTCTTGAGTTCCTTTATACAGATTTCTCCCTGGATCTGACAGACTAGGGGTGCTCGCACTAGGGTCAGTGTCCCTACCACCTCTACAACTGTGTATCATAGTCATTGAGGAATCGTTCTTGGTCCCAGGGAAGACTGACTTAAAAATTAAAATTGTTTATAGATCTTCCCCCCTTCCGCCCCTGCACCCCCCACACACACACACATTCAGGATTAAACCCAGGGCCCATGCATGCTAGGCAAGTGTTTACCACTGAACTACATCCTCAGCCGTGGATCAATTTTTTTTAACATAAGTGTTTAATAAAGAAGCAGCTGGGTCTTTAAAGATACCTCAGTATTTCTGTTAGAAATGTTTTGACCCTTAACTTCATATGTTCCAAAACACTCAAAATAAGACGTAAGAAAGTGACAGAATTCGCCTGGCATGAGCAGGACCCTGGGAGCAGGGAACCTGGACTGAGAGCAGTCTCGTGGCTGCTTGCTCCTGGCTCCCCTTCTTGTCTTTGGTAGGAGCTAGGTCATCACACAGAGGCAAAGAATAAGGACAGTTTTCGGTCACTTACTGCAGGGTAAATATCCTCAATCTGGAAATTCGAAGCTTTTTGTACACCAGCATGACTAGTAGAAAATGTCACACCTGACCTCATGTAATAGGTCACAGACAAAACAGAAGTACTCTAAAAATATTGTGCAAAATCACCTTTGGGCCCTGTGAAACTTAAGTGAATTTCATGTTTAGACTTGGGCCCCATCTCCAAGATATCTGTGCAAATATTCCAAAATCTAAATAAAATCCAGAATTGGGAATGCTTCTAGTCCAAGTGATAGAGAGACTATACCTGAGAAGTTGTGACTAAACCAAGCACATGGTGTGGAGCAAGGAGCCTGACCCTGGGAGGCTCCCGTCAGACCAAGCTGGGCCCCAGGGTTTCCACAGCTGTCCTGTGGTGTTCAGGCACCCGGAGGAGAGGAGGCCCAGGAGACAGATGGCTTCCAGGGTTGAGCTGCCGGGGGAGGGGATGCCCCCTTAATGGAGAGCAGTGGTTAAGACCTTGGCCAGCACAGCAGATCTGTGGCTCTGACCAGGAACTTAAAGTCCTGAATGAGATCTTAGGGAAAGGTACTGAAGCGTGATGGTTTGGCTCTTGATATCCTTCCTTGAATCTACAGGCAGAAAGAGTAGATACTGGATTAAAGCCTCAAGTGGGGAAGGCCTCCCCTCTTAGTTGTACTTGGAAAGCAGTGTGGCCACATTCCTCCAGCATTCAAAAGACAGCAGGGCTGGGCTGGGGCTCAGCGGTAGAGCACTCGCCTGGCATGGGTGAGGCACCGGGTTCGGTCCTCAGTACCACATAGAGACAAAGGTATCATGTCTGTCTACAACAACAAAAAAAATATTTTTAAAAAATAGCAAAAGACCTGATCCCTGCCCTGAAGTGGATCTTGTAAGGAGTTTAGACACAACGTACCCTTACGTGCTCAAAGTAGCTGCACGCTCTAGCCACTCACAGTCGTGGGGCTCACATGAGCACAGCTCTGAGAGGTCAGGTATGGGCTTCCTCTGGCTGAGTGGGATAGTTTGGTCTCTTCCTGTGGCACACCCCTGTCCTCCCAGGTTATAATAAGGCTGTCCCTGTTCCGTGTCTTGTTGAAGTCGAGAGCTCGTATTTTCCTTCAAAAGAGAAAGAAAAGAGGAAGGCACAGGCTAGCAGGAAGGGGATCCTGTGGTCCATTCTGACTCCTTCAGAGGACATCTGAGAAGTTAAACAACAGTTTGAGGTCACAATCTGGCTAGTGTCAGGGACAGCCCTCCCCCCGAGCTCCCAGAAATGGGCCCTGTGAACCACCAACCAGCAGGGAATAGAGCCCCCCCAAGCCAGGCCCCACCCCAGGATAGCCTTGGCTCCCTCAAGCTGTCACCTGCCTGTGAGAGCACCAAGTGTGTGCCTGTCACCCCACACCAGTTGCAGCCAGCAAGTGTGTTCCGACCTCCCTCCTGTCAATTCTCCCTCACAGTGGTGTGCACAGGCCCCGTTTAAACCCCCTTCACACCCTCCTCTCACCCAAAATACCAAAGTCCCACCAAGAAATGGGATTCAGAGCAGTTCCAGAAAATAGATGGCGAGTGTAGGCTGTGAACACCCTCAGCTGCCTGGTGGCCTGGGGAAGACCATGGAGATCCCCACACCACCCCAGGAGCCTGCCCCCTCAGAGCCCCTTGGGATGTGCCCTGGCTGCGAGTTATCACTGGGCCTGGACGGGGCAGGATTGCTGTCCATTTATCATACAGGACAATAGTGCAGGCAGATGGAGAAATCGATAAGCCCCTTTTGCATTCTGCAGGCCACATGTGAGCGGGGCTTTGCTGCAATGGAGGAAACACACCAGAAGAAGATTGAAGATCTGCAGAGGCAGCACCAGAGGGAGCTGGAGAAGCTGAGGGAAGAGAAAGACCGCCTCCTGGCTGAGGAGACCGCCGCCACCATCTCAGGTGGGGCTGGGGCACCAAGAGCAGCGTCCGACCCACCTCCTGGGCCGGGCCTGCAGCTCGGTCACCACCACCCATGCTGAGCATCCTGTCTGGGATTGGAGCTTCGTTTTGAGAAGAAGTGTTCTTTATCTGAGGCAGGGGCTGGTTTGAGGAGTCCTTTGAGAGCCAGTGCTCCAGCACCGCTGGCTCCCCAGGGGAACTGGGCCTTCCTGTCTAGCCCCTGCGACAGAGGCCATCAGCATGAGGACCCTCTGGCCACAGCAGCCTAAACACCAGAGGGGAGAGGTGTGCAGCTTCCCTCTGGCGACACTGTCACCACCTGAGCAAGCCCGTTCCGTCTGTGCGGCATTGCCTTCCCTCCTCATGATCAATAAGATTACAGTAACTCATCATGTAGTGGCAAGGAAGAAAGTTCTGGAAAAGCTGTGTGTTTTATAAACTCGTACTCCAGTTTAACATCCATGTTTAATCAGTTTGGCGTTGTGGTGTTGGCGGTCCTGGGAATTGAGCCCCCAGAGGGCACTACCACTGAACCATGTCCCCAGCCCTTTTGATTTTGAGACAGGGCCTTGCTAAATTGCTGAGGCTGGCCTTGAATCTGGAATCCTCCTGTCAGCCTCCGTATCCCCTATGGCAGGAGAGCTGCTGGTGGGAGGCAGCCTGTCGGAGGTGTGTTCCTCAGGGGTGCAGTGTCCGTGGTGTTCACATGTCACACTGTCCTGACCTACCGAGCCCCTGGGGAAGGAAGGGTACAGTGAGGAATGGCATTGCTGGATGTGCAGCCCCAGCCTCTTGGTGCTGAGGGCCATGTCCTCGCCCACAGCCATTGAAGCCATGAAGAATGCCCACCGGGAGGAGATGGAACGCGAGCTAGAGAAGAGCCAGCGGTCTCAAATCAGCAGCATCAACTCGGACATCGAAGCCCTGAGGCGACAGTACCTGTGAGTCACCCGCCCCAGGCAGGGCCCCTGGAGGAGGCCCACAGGTGGAGACCCTGCCTTCCTGGGTCTCTGTGAGAGCTTGAGGGTTGGTCCTAGGAGAAGCCATGGTGTCGGCCCCCCAGACCACCTTCCTCTCCAGGGGTGGGACACAGCCCACCTGAGGCTTCCTGTACTAAAACAAAAATTGGTCACTAAAATCCAAAGAAAGAGGTGCAACTGATGAAATTCTGAAACAGCTTGTCCAGCCTGGTGTAGAGGCCACCCCACAATTTATTCTCCATCAATGGCTCCATTATCTCATAAGAAACGGGGAGCCTGGCTGGTGCCTGGTGCCTGGTACTCCATGGCTATACTAGCTGAAGTCACCACAGTCTCTGTGGTCCCCTTGTGTGTGCCGGTTCCCTTTCCATAAGTGGGGGAGTGGGGAGGAGACTCCAGAGCAGTCCTGTTGATCTTCTTTCCCCCTCTGTAGAATTGACGCAGCCGGGACCCTTGGGTTGGCCTTGGGGGTCTGTTTGTTGCTTAGACTGTGCCAAGGTCTCCAGGACATGTCAAAGGCCAGGACCCTACCTCAGGAACAGTCAGTGCATCAGAGCCAAGGCCACAGCAGCTTAGGTGACATCCCATAGAGTAGCCATGCTCACCTGGCTCGGCTGAGCTAACAGGGGCCAAGGCCTGGGTGACCCCTCCTTGGTTCCACCAGTAGGAAGTTGGCCCTTGTGGATCCAGGGGGCCGAGAACTACCAAAGGGCTGGTTCTCTGCATCTCGCACACCCACTGGGTCTTCCGGGGATGGCAGAAGTAGGCTCACTGAAAACAGCTCCTGGTCAGGAGAGCTGCCTGCCCGAGTTCTCTCGGAAACCCGACATCCACGTTGCCATTGGTGACTGAATTGTGTCCCTAGAAGTGTCATTCTGTAACTCCTGGGCTGTGGGGGAGGACCAGGAAGGACACGGAGTGGGTTATGCCTGCCCTTTGCTGTACTGCTGTGGTGTCTAGTTGACCCTTGGGTGTGGGAAGGGGCCTGGGTCCTGGATCAAGGGTGGAGTGCTGAGCGCCCCTCTCCCCAGGGAGGAGCTGCAGTCGGTGCAGCGGGAGCTAGAGGTCCTCTCGGAGCAGTACTCCCAGAAGTGCCTGGAGAATGCCCACCTGGCCCAGGCTCTGGAAGCCGAGAGGCAGGCCCTGCGGCAGTGCCAGCGTGAGAACCAGGAGCTCAACGCCCACAACCAGGTGAGCCTGAAGTCAGGTGAGGCTGAGCTGGGACCAGACCTCACCCCGAAGGTGGTCCTGAGGGTCTCTGAGCCATGGCGTGGCCATCCACACTGCAGGCCACCCAGTGACGGCCACTTGGTAGTTCTCATCATGTTGCCAGAAACTCACTGCATATGGCCAGAGCAAGCTTGTCTGCTCAGACCAGTTGTTGGAGTTCAGAATCTCTCTTCCTGAGACCAAGAGCCGAGTGGTTTCTCTGAACCTCTCATTCATTGCCAGGCAGGGCCCAGGACTCATCCCTGAAAGTCAGATGCCCTGTTCCTCGGGGAGTAAAACTTAAATTACGAGGGTTAGGATTCTTGTGTTTGTTTTTGTCAGAATATTCCCTTAAAATTTGCTGTTGCTTAGGAATTGGAGGGACATTAAAATCCTGGCTAGCCAAAGGGTACAAGTTAGTGACTTTGAGTCAGTGGAAGTTCCTCTGTGGCACATGTGACACTGCCCTCTGCCAGCCCACCCTGCATGACCTCCCTTCCGGCATCACACAACCTAATGCTCAGGCCACACAGGACTGGACATTTAATTGCTCATGTAAACATTGCAGTGGCAAGGAGGCAGAATAGCCACATCCTACAGGAGCTCACGTGGGATAAGCCACAAAACAAGCAGATACTTTATTAATAAAGAGAGGTGTTAAGGTTTATGGAATCCTCACACAACTCTACAGATACAAATAGCCCTCCATATCTGAATTTGCATCCATGGATGCAACCAATGTGGTGGGAAATATTTGGGTCAAGAGTTGGATCCACACGGAACGTGTACACATTTTTTTCCTTATCACATTTTTTTCCTTATCATTATCCCCTAAACAACACAATACAGCTGTGTGCATTGCATTTACTTTGTATTGCGTATCATAAGTGATCTAGTTTGAAGTATATAGGAGGGGCTGTGGCTGTGGCTCAGCAGTAAAACGCTCGCCTAGCATGAACAAGGCACTGGGTTTGACCCTCAGCACCACATAAATGTAAAATAAAGATATTTTTGTCTACCTAAAACTTAAGAATAAAAATTTTTTAAAAATAAATAAAGTGTGCAGGAGAAGGTGCATAGGTCGTATGCAAATGCTGCTATTTTGTGTAAAAGGCTTCAGCAGCCATGCACCTGGGTATCTGTGAGAGTCTTGAACCAGTCCCCTACCAATACCAACATTCTACATTCAACCCCCACACAACAGCTTTTAGACGACTGAACTCCACAGGTGTGGAGCCTCAAATGCTGAACCCCAGACACAATGATGCACATGCACATTACTCGTGACCCCGATACTTGGGTCTCTCATATTGTTGGTGAGAAATGACTTTTCCAGGTCATGATGTGCAATTTGGAATGTGTTGTGTTGTTGTCCTCCAGGAACTGAATAACCGCCTGGCTGCAGAAATAACACGGTTACGGACACTACTGACTGGGGACGGTGGTGGAGAGGCCTCAGGGTCACCCCTCACGCAGGGCAAGGATGCCTATGAGCTAGAGGTACTGTCAAGAACCAGGTCCTGCCCTGTTCAGCCTTGCTGCAGAGGAGCCCCAGAGGAAGCAAGGTGTGGCCCTTCGACGTTGGAGGGATAGACTTGGAAAGAGGGATGAAGATATGACTCAGTGGGAGAGCGCTTGTGTAAGGCTGTGGCTTCAATCCCCAGCCATGCCCCCAAGAAATTTAAAGAAAAAAACTTAAAGGACATAGAAAGATCCAAAGTCACTGCAAGATGGCCAGGGAGCAGTTAGCTGCCAGGCAGCCTGGGGTTCACAGGCGGGAGCCAGGGCCACCTTGAGAGGCTGGGGGGATGCTCAACCCTACCTTCCCGCCTCCTGCCTCCAGCCCCACCCTCTCTCTATCTCACCACAAACACTGGCCACAGAAAGTGACCCATTTTATAGCTACATGAGTGCTGTGGCCTGAGGTTCTGTTGCACTCCACTTCTTAGGAGCCAGGAGTGCTTGTTAAATCACAGTAACTGATTCTGGTGTATTACGGTGTCCTCTTAGGAAGATATATAGGTTTTTCTCTGTTAGATGATAATTGTATCTTAAAAATGCTTCCCATAATGAGCACGGAAAGAGTCTGGTAGAAATTTCTACAGAATAGCATTTCCCAAGCCTGAGTGCTGGTCTCAGGAGATGAGTAAGTTGGCAGCAATAGTTCCTGGCCTTCCCAGGCTGAGCTGAGGTTCTTGGGACGTGGAAGGGAATGCAGTGGTTTTTTTCCCTCTTCTGTTTCTTCATGTCATGTGGAAGTTTTGAGTAATATGGAATTCTCTGAGGTGGGCATGGTTGTCCTGCTCCCTGGTGTGGGGAGGGCTATCTTCTCACCTCTCAGTTTGTGCGTGCGACACTCTGGAGGTTCCCTGGCTCCTGAATGCCAGTCCCTGATTTCTCTCATTGTAGGTCTTATTGCGGGTAAAGGAATCAGAAATACAGTACCTGAAACAGGAGATCAGCTCTCTCAAGGACGAGCTCCAGACAGCACTGCGGGTAAGAGGCACGCTGGCGCTGGTGGGACTGGCCAGGCTGCATCCCTGTGGCTCAGCACCAGCCACTCTAGGCTAGATTTCGCTTTTGTGAGGTCACAGTTTCTCAGTCAAGTTCTTTTAAAACATCAGCCTGCAAACAGGTGCTGGGGAAGTCAGCGGCCAGCCTGGCCAGGCCCTGGAGCTATGGTCGCTTGTGTTTCCTCGTGGTTCATCAGAACGGTGACACCTAGGGGAATGATCTTGGGATGAGGCAAGGCCCCACCTGCCATTCATAGCTGGATCAGGCCCACCCCCCCTCTACTCCTGAGATAGAATCCTTGGTGGCAGTTCCAGTCACTTAGAAAGTCCAAGACGGGGGCTTTCCTGACTTAAGCCCCTGAGGTAAGGTGCTGGGCAGTCAAGGCCACACTCTGCACTCACAGGACCTGGTGATTCTCATTCATGTGCAGGTGCAGAGTGCCAGACCTGGGTTCACAAGCCCTGTTTCTTTCCTTTTGTGTTCGGTTCCTGCCTCTGGCAGACAGATCCACATGTTCTGTCTTATGGAGGTGCAAGGACCAGGCCTCAGGCCCACAGCCCGCTCTCCCACAGTGTTTCAGCCCTGATGGGGACAGACCAGGGTTCCACGGGAGCCTCCTCCCCTGGTCATAACTACCATTAGCTCCGTCTGCTCTCTCCTTAGGACAAGAAGTATGCCAGTGACAAATACAAAGATATCTACACAGAGCTCAGCATCGCAAAGGCCAAGGCAGACTGCGACATCAGCAAGTTGAAAGAGCAGCTGAAAGCAGCTACCGAAGCCCTGGGAGAAAAGTCCCCCGAGAGCCCTGCTGTGGCAGGATACGGTGAGTCCTGTGGGATGTTCATGGGGCTCTCCTGGGCTGGGTGTAGACCTGCGTCTCCTTGAGACCGCAGCACAGGCACAGGAGCTGCATGTCCGCCCTCCTGCCCTGGCAGTGACAACTCCACAGTAGTGAGAGTCTGGTTTCTCCGTTTCCTGCAGAACTCGGCAGCTGGCTAGAAGCTCTTGCCAGATGCTTGGACTGAGGGTTATATCATAAAGTCTGTAATGGCCCCAGGTGGGGCAGGAGAGGAAACCCCTTTTTGCTTCTTAGGTGAACAGCAGGACTGGCTCCTTTCATTGTTGACTGAAGACATGCTGGTGGCTCTGTGAGGCAGATTACAGAGAGGCTGAAGAACTACATCTTGTCGAGCAAGATCAAATAATCCATGACTTCATTTGACCTTCATGTTGACCTTTTAAAAACCTACCAAAAAACTAATAATAATTTCTTCTATCAGCCAGCCACAGAATGCTACAATGGCAATATTGACATATACTTGGAAGAAATGACATGTGCGTTGCCAGTGAGGGGACAAATGGCCATTCTTTTTAGAAGGTCATCATGCAGTATATGGCAAAATCTAAAATCAAACCATAGACCAACTCTGAAGGGCAATGAAATGATAACAATGATTGCTTCTGAGGAGGCAGCTAAGGTGTCCAGGGCACAGGGAGAGGGGAAGTCCTAGAATTAGGTGAATGCAGGCATACCTTTTACCTATCAAGATAACTTTGAAAAAACAAGCAGGTTACTGGGCTGAAAATAGCAGTTGCCATAAGGCACAGATGGAGGGCTGTTCATGCTAGACACAGCCACTTTGCAGGACTGGATTGAACCCAGTAGTTCAGAGCTGTTCTGCCTCTGAACTACATCCTCCAGGAGTTGATTTTGAGACAGTGTCTTGCTAAGTTGCTGGGGCTGGCCTGGAGCCTACCTCAGCCTCTCAAATAGCAGAGACTACAGGGATTACCACCACAACTGGCTAGACCTGCAGATCTTAAAAGAGGTCAGGTAGATACTTTTGTTATGACATTGAAAGAGTTATGACATAAATGTATTTAGTAAAAATTAAAGACCTCCATGTGCAGAAGGTGCGTAGGTATATGACCAGCGTGTCCATTTTGCATGTATAGGAGTAGACTTTGTCTCAGTGGGGACAGGTCATGAGAAAAACCTTGTTTTGTGATGGTCCTGTGTCATCAGGAGGAGGCTGGGAATGAACAAATCTTGGGACCAGCTGATCTGCCAGGAGCGGAAGACCCAGTCTCCTGCTGAGAGTACACAGCCCTCAGCACTTGCACAGCTAAAGCCCTTGCAGGAACCAGCTTACTCTTCCCATGTTCTCGTGCCTTATGGTATTCAAAAAAAGCCTACTGTGTGTTATGGTTGTGGACTTTATGTTCTTGCGGAGAGCTGTTCAAGGAAGTGTCAAGGTGTTCTCTGCGAGAGTGAACTTGGAAGCTTTTAAACATTCGGTCTGGTTCCAGAAGGTTCAGAAAACAAAAGGTAATGAATGGGTCTCTTTGTTTCTTCAGACATAATGAAATCTAAAAGCAATCCTGACTTCCTGAAGAAAGACAGATCCTGTGTCACCCGGCAGCTCAGAAGCATCAGGTCGAAGGTGAGTTGTGTGGGACCCAGCCCTCGTTGGGTGGGACTGAAGGGTGCTGGGGAGAGAAGCAAGGACCAAGGCCAAGCCTACCATGGTGCCAGCACAGAATCCCTAGGTCCTGCAGCCAGCCCACCTACACAGCCACCTGCTGGGCTGGTTAAGCTTCATGTCTCTTTCATGAACTACCATCAGGCAGCAACGCCAAGAGGCCAGGGCTGCAAGAAGCAGAGGGTAGAGTGTTTTAGTGTCTTAGCTCGAGGCTGGGCTTCACCCCAGCACATCTTTGTGTCAGTGCTGTCTGTGTTATTCCTTATATGTCCCCGTTGTAATACTGATGCCACCTGCCTTTGAGAGACAAAGCCACCCACCCTGCTTCAGCACAGCAGCCAGCCTTCAGTGTGCTCCCCAGAGTCTGGTGTTCGTCTGTCTCTGGGGAAAGGTGGGTGGAAGGGGTCTGGCCAGCGTATTGCATTTAGGATTTATTGTGTGTGTGTGTCTCATTTTTGCTTTTTCCCCTGACAGTCCGTAATTGAGCAGGTCTCATGGGATAACTGACTCGCGCCCGCTTCCAGGTCCCCTGTCGTGTAGGTAAACCACCTCTCACCACTGCCCACCTGCCCATGCAGGGGTGGCTCTCTGCATGCACTGCTCACACCTCCATAGCACACGCCTGTGTCGTTGTTCCTTAATTTTAATTCATCCTGCTCCAGCAAGCACACACAAAATCCACAGGAGGTTTCTACACCCTGTTTGGGGGCGCTGACTCGCACTCTAACCCCTTCAGAGCTGACCCTGCCCGACGTGCCCCCGAGCCTGGCAGGCAGGTGTCAATGCATGCTGGACGGTTCATGCACGGTGCTGAGCTCACACACCCCCACCCCACCCCAAACAAACCCTTCCTGCCCCCTGTCAAGAGAGAGAGCTGACAGATGCCCACTGCCCCTGGCAAGCAGTATCTGCCCTCGCTGGAGACCTCACCTTCCTACTGAGAGCATGGCCCAACTCCCTGTCATCCAGTGCCCCCTGCTGCCCCGTTCTCACAGCCCTTCTCAGCCTCCCTGTCCTTTAGGGCTGTGGCAGCACCTGGGGAAGTGGTTCACAGGAACCTCACAGCTGCACGCAAGATTCATGACTACTGCCAGCACTTTAAACCAAAACCCCTCCCCGGCACCACACAGGGAGGTGCTGTCCCCACAGGAGGGGGCGGGGTGGCCCTGACAAGAAGTGCTGCCTGTTAGCATGAGCAGGGGACACAGTGGAGCGTGTGTGGTCACCAGCTCCTGCTGCGTACGAGCCCCCCAACCTTCTGGAGCATTCTGGTGGCCAAAGGACATCAACCTTGAAGCTTGAGTGAATTGTGTCTGCCTTAAGAAGAGTATTAAGAGACTCAAGGGTTTTTTCCTAGTTGGATTGATCATGTTTTTCTACCCAAATATGGTTTAGGCTTGATTGAAAATTTGGGGCTTTTCTCCTTAAACATGAAGTTTAGTTTAGTAAAAAGGAAGCTTATTATTTTTTGGCTCATGATGTTTGTGTTCCTCTCTGAGGCTGGACTCAAGCTGCCACTTGTCAGCTTTTCCTGAGTGAGCTTGGAGCTCCCTGATGGAGTTGGGCCTAGAAATGACATTTGGGGACATTTAGGGGCAGGGGAGTACAAGGAAACTGTGCTACAGGGTGTCCCTGCACATGCATGACTCCCTGCAGTGACATTAAGACAGACAGGGCTATACAGAGTGGGTCTTTATATGCTGTGTGCTCGGTCAGGCCCAGCATTGGGAAGACACTAAAGCAAAGGTGGAACATGAAGACCTTTATGGAAACCCCCGGAAGACTATCCGGGCCGCCAGGGCCAGCTCAGACTCTGAGAGGGACTAGGAAAGGGTAGAGTAGACACAGAGTAAGTCTTACCAAGTGTTTTTTCAGTTCCTGTGTGGCATGGCCAGGTTCCAATGTAAGAGGCCCGTGGTGCACAGGGCAGTCCCATGGGCCCCAGCAGAAAATCGGAGACTTGTAGACATCCTTTGGGACACTGGGTATTGCAGTAGGGCTGGCCTCTGAGGCACTTGGACCTGGCTTTCCTTGAGTGCATGTGGAGACTCCCTCCAACCCCCCAAGAAAACAGGAGTGACGGGGGCCAGAGACAGGGCCTTGGTACCCTCTGGTGCAGTCTTGGCACCTTCCATGCATGTTGTCTTTACTTCCTACTTCACTCAGAAAGAGAGCGAGTCTCATGCCTGTGAATTACAGCACCAACTCAACAGAGGCACCATTCTTTCTCAGGTCAAGGGCAGAGAGAATTCTGCCCATGGTGTTCTCCCCGGGGCCCACGTCTGTGGTAACCTCAGAGTGGACTGAAGAGACTAATCAGGAAGGGGGATGAGCCCAAAAGAGAGCTGGTGATCCCCTGAGACCTGGCAGGCACTAGTTCACTTAGGGCCCTGTCTTCAGGCTGAGCAGCACCTAAGAGAAGAATCCAGAAGCCTTGGAGGGAAGGCCATCTCCAGGGTGAGGGGCAGTCCAGGACTTTGTAGTGATCACAGACTTCTCTGACCCCAGACTGCCCTGCCCCAAGGTGTACAAGGGGAAACCTTGGGTACTGTGTAGAGCCTGCTACAGCCAGCTATGTCCCTTGAGAGCGTCCACCATGCACACAGGAGCAGTTCCAGAAGCCAAACACTCCTGTTCTTGTGAATCTCGGACTCGCAAGTTCATTTAAATCCTAAAGAAAGTTCTCAGCCAGAAAGGAGCAGGCCTGGCAATGCCACACAGCCCTCGCATCCTGCAGAGGTCTGCCTCAGGGGCGTTCACGCCAGGCCACCTGCCTGGATCGTGGCCACACCTCTGCCCAGCGTCTCTAGGAGCCTGACTGCTACACACTCAAATGCCTAGAGTGCCTGGGGCTACTCTTGGGCTCAGAAGTGGCATGTGTGGGTGTTTATTCACTTATTTCATATACACAAGTCCCGAGTGTAGAACAGACGCTCAGAGCTGTTCTGAGTGAAGCTGGGCTCCAGACATCAGGAAATGTCAGGCTGTCCAATGAGCCTCCCTATTGCTGGAGCTGCCAGGGGCTAGGGTCCCGGAAGGCAGTGTCACACCACCCAGCATTTGGACTAAAACTGGTATAATCATGTGGATGTGAGTCGAGGCCAAGCTCTTGGTTTCCTATTCCTGGTGGGACAGCCTTGCCCTCCAGCTCTGAGCCCTGCAGAATCAGGCAGCGCTGAGCCTGCCCCCGACACCAGGGGGGAGATGTAAAGGGGAGATGTGGCAAGTGCGGAGCCAAGGGCCAGCCATCCAACAGGACATCTTTGAGAAAAGTCTGAAGTGGGAAACAGCCTGTCCCCCAATTAGCCAAATATCCATACTCCGGACGCACCAAGAACCCACGTGAACAGAGTATAGCTTCTGCATTCTCGAAACTCCCGGTGGTTATGTTGGCATGTTCTTAAACCCCACAACATCTGGTGATCCCCTCGGGCTTCTGCCTGGGGAATGCCCAAGGTGCATCTGCAGCAGCAGATAGATGCCCCAGGAGAGCAGGGCACATGTCCCAAGATTACCTGGCTCATATGCATAGAGGAACCAACGTGCACAGGTGCACATGCAGAAAGGGCCACGGCTGGGCAGTCACCTGGCTCACAGCGCATTTCCCCCTGGTGGGTCGGACTGGTTGCTCTTGTCTAAAGAGCCCTAAGCCCAGAATTAAACTACCGAAACACGTGGCCTTGTTTCTTTTGTTTTGTTTTGTTGTGCTCCCCCTTTTCCAGTCGTGTAAATTTCTGCAGGGGAAAGCATACCCCACCAGTAACACCCTCCCCAGGGGCCGTTTCTTGTCCTGGCATGCCCACTAATCTAAGGAGCCACCCCTCACCCTCTGCCTCCGCACCTGCACCCTCTGACCAAAGCCCATGCCTCAGTGTCCACCTGGTGCCCGCCACCCTCTAACACAGTGTCTCCCCCTCTCGCACCCCACCCAGAGTCTGAAGGAAGGCCTGACTGTGCAGGAGCGGCTGAAGCTCTTTGAATCCAGGGACTTGAAGAAAGACTAGCTGCGTCCCACGCAACTTGACACACCCTTCCCAGCTGGCGGCGGCACGACCCAAGCAGCTTCTTGTCCGTACTTTTGTTTGTGTCATTGTCATCATTAACTGTGGGTATGGATGTGTGAGAGACTGGTGTCTGGGTTGTCCGCACACTCCCTGCCGTGCTGACTCTGGCTTCTTGTCCCCGTCACAGCTTTTTTCCATGGTATCTGAAATTAGTGAAGCTCCAGCAGTGGGGCGGGGAGGGCCGTCCCACGGAGTCGGAGCAGAACGCCCTCCACGGCCCCACCGCACTCACTGTCAGTATTAAGGCTCAGCGGCCTGTTGATAAGCTAGCCCTGTCTCAGAGTGCAGGATGGGGACCTGGCTGCTGTCCCAGCTCTGCTGCCCACTGGCCGGGCACCACCAGGCGGGCAGGTCCTGTTGGGCAGAGAGGAGCCACCTAGATGGTCGGGTTTGGCCTGGACCGCAGCAGAGGTGCCTCCCCTGCCTGGTTGCTGGAGGAAGAGGCCCCGCGGGCTGTGCAGCCTGCATGCGCTGCCTTTTGGCCTGGGAGGAGGACAGCATTTGGTATTTGTTCCACTAATGCAGCTTAGAACCACGCCCCAGATGACCCTGGCAAACCTTTCACAACCTGGAAAATGTTGGAAGCAACCATTCCTATTTTTGTTTGTTTTTTATTAAATCTTGCACAAAATCCCCGGCCCCTCTCATTCCTTCCTCCACCTGGTCCTTCCTTGCTCTGAGTCACCCTGATCTTTTCCTAACTGCTGGGATTGGTGGCCTCTTCCTGGGGCTTCAGACCAAAGTGATGGATTCCCTCAGGGAGTCATCCAAAGGGGAGAAAGTGGCTCACTTTTCAGTTTCCCGTAGCTTTTGCAGAGGCTGAGGAAGAGCCCCGCGTTAGTCAAGCAGGGGGGTGTGGAGGATGTCAGGATGCGGAGGATGTCGGGGTGATGAGAACAGCCAGCGGGGTGTCTCGGGACTGTAATGAACCTGAGCTCTGGGGGTCCCCTCGCCACGCCGGCCTCTCAGAGCGTGCTTGCAGTGAAGCTGGGGTAACAAGTCTGCTTTTCTGAGTCTGGCAGGACCTTTTTAACTGTCCAAAACATTCTGCAGCACCTCGTGAAAGTCTCTTACATTGGGGTTTCCATTCTGTTCCTGTGACGACCATTAATTCCATTAAGTCATAGCAGATCAGGAGCCCCCAGCACACGGGAGTGATGCAGGAGAATCGAGAGGTCTTGTATCTGCAAGACCCCCACCATCTACTCCCCTGCCATGCCCCTGTCCACTGGCCCCATTGCCGGAGCTTTTCGTTCATGCCAGAACTTGAGGTGGATGGATGGTGCTAGGTAGATGGAGGCTTTGGGAGTGAAGTGCAGACATCCCCTTGCTCAGTTAATGGACAAGCTCCCCCAGGCCTTCTGGCCCACCCTGGTGGGTGGCAACAGGACGGAGGCCCAGGGTGAGGTGGTTTGCAACACACTTAGCTTGCACAGGCCCGAGCCTCCCCTTCCACAGCCTTAGTGAGTCCTCAGCCACACCTGTAACTCCTTTGCTCCTGGTCCATGTTTTCAACAGCAAAAGCACATTCAAACTGTTTAAAATCAACTTGTCAGAAATCCCCAGATTGGCAGCACTTGAGAAATGGCCATGACCTGTCTGCATCCTGCTCAGACTGGGAATGTGCAGAAGGAGCTCTACAGTGTCCAGTGGACCCTGAGGGGACATGCTGTGCCTGATCTCGGGGCGCCATGATATCACATCATTCTCTAAGGGCTGCTGCCCTTCTTCTGCTCCACTGTGGTTCCTTTGTGACCATCCCTGCAGCCCCTGGGTACCCGCTGACCCTGCCTGCAGGCAGTCTCCCCCATCCCCCGCGGTGCTGCCTAGAAATAGGCTCTGCCTGCCTCAGACACACAGGGCTTTGTATAAGAGCAGGTTGGCCATGTTTTTAGAATTATTTATATCCCTTGAGGCTGGACCTCAGGACATGACCTTGAGTGTACACTGGGGGTCAGAGGTGAAGCAGGAAGAGGCAGCTGACACCTGGACTCCTGTCCCTGTGACCCCATGGCAAAGACCCACACTCACCCCAAAACAGCACTCCCCACCCCGGGTCTGGTTTGGTACTTGGGTATCACCAAGAAACTGGGCCAGCAGAGAAGGGGGACACTGGCTCCTGTCTAACACCCCTGACGGTGGCCCTGCACTGACTGCTGCCCGGGTTGGTGAAGTCTTGAGTGTCAGGAGTGGGCTGTCCTCCAGCTGGAGTGAACTGGACAAGGAGGAGAATGGAGACTTCTTCCTGTGCCTCCCGTGTTTCCAGGCTCAGATGCCCCTGTGTCTGCCCTGGGAGCCCCCCTGCTGCTCTTTGCCTGTGGCGTTGCATTCTGCAGGAGGGGCAGGGTGTGGAGATGGAGTGGGTGTGGGCAGTTTCTCAGGGCTGCTGCAGGTGGCGGGGGCTGTGTTGTGACGGGGGTCTCAGTCCCCTCCCAGCACCAGCCAGCAACAGTAAGCTCTGCCCACCTCACTGTGAGGATTATTCTCCTATAAATAGTCACTGGGGACCTGCTCACACCTGCGAGCAAGCCACGTCATGTTCAGCAGGGAGTCCTCTGGCTCCTGGACGACTTTCACCAACATCTGTGCTCACCCACATAGGAGAGTCGTTTCCTGCTGGTCAGGTTGTCCACTGTGGTGCCCGGCACCTGAGCAAGGGGACAGTGGTGCTGTAGCCTCCCTGGGGCAGGGATCCCTGCCAGTGAGGCCACAGCTCAAGGCTCGGCTGCAGAGACTCTAGAGGGAGCCCGGGGTTGGGTGGAATGGGAACATCCTGGGATGTGGGGAGGATGTTGGAACTGTGGGTTTCTTCAGCCAGAGCCGACATCAGAGTGGATCCTCCCAAGAGGCAGCGAGAAAAAGGCAGAAGAGCTCAGAGCACAGGCCACACACCAGGCAGAGAGCCACAGGTGTGGCCAAAGTCTGCTCCCACGCTGGCCTCAGATCCAGCTGCGTGCTGACAGACGGCTCCTGTGGGCTAAACTCAGGAGAGGTGGTCTCAGTTTGTAAAAGAATAAAATTGAGCCTGAGAACATGCCTGGAAGGAATCCTGAGAGATTGGCCAAGAAGCAAAATCGATGGCTTAAAAGACATTTAGGTGGAAACGTGAGTAGGACCTGCTTCCCTACAGAGGCAGGCAGGGCACCGACTTGCCCACCTGGCAGGTGCCTAGAATGAGCACAGCCCCGTTCATCCCAAATGCCTGGGCACACACAGCTGGTACTAAGTAGCTCCTGACCTGCTGTGGCTGCAGGGTCGTGGGCCGGGGCCACCCAGCAGGTTAAGTGGGGTCCACGCAGGGGGCACACCCCCTACCAACAGTCGGTGTCCTCTGCTCCCACTGCCCCTCCTGGTTCCCAAAGACCAGGGAGCAGCCCTGGGCCCCGTGCAGCCCAAGGTCTGGGACGGCCCAGAGAACACTCTGGGGTCCCTGTTGCTGTGTCTCTGCATGAGTATCCAGCAAGGGCCACATGCAGAAGGGGCAACTCACAGCAAGTTTAACTTTCCACGCACACAGTTCAGCTGGCGGGGCCAGGCCCGGCAGGAAGAGGACATAAGCCAGCGTGGGGAGTGCGGCCCTGCACCCTTAGCTCCTGTGAGACAGAGCGTGATGGGGAGTGGAGCTAGTGGGCTGCCCAGAGATGGGACGAGCCCCCTGAGCACACGGAGGGCGAAGGCCTTAGGCACTGGAGGGGAGCAACGCACTGCTGTCTGGAGCTGCCCTCCGCCCAGGGTGGTCTGCTGGCCGCCTTTATTTTTTTCAGAATTTCCTGTATATTGTCCAGAGTAAGCAGTGTGAATATCACTGAGAAGTGACTGCAGGGACTTGTGTGACAAAGTTCGAATGGCGTTTTAAAAACCTGATGTAGATATCCCTTTTCAAGACGGGGAGGAGGACAGCTTGGCACAGCAATGAGCCTGTCCAGCCTCCTGAGAACGACATTTAGTGGTCACTGCATCTTGTTAAAAGCCCAGTCATTTAATAGACGGTCTTAGAGGACATGGACAGCATCTGAAAGATAAGCCACACCTTACCTGTTGCTGAAAGCATTCTGGACACCTGTTCTTGGCAGAACCAGTCAGAGTCCTGAAGGACAAAGGAAAATGGTGGCCGTCTTGACCCGTCTGTTTAGTAATCCCAGACCTGTCCCTGGAGGGAGGTGAGGCTGAGGGCTTGGGGGCTGTCAGGTCTCCATGCCTGGTTCTGACAGTGTCCAGGGCTGTGCACAGAGCAGCTGAGCCATCTGGATCCCCAGCCACCTGGTTATTGAACTCTGGAGGTCATGAACCTTGGAATGCATCGCATCTTACAATACGTATTTCTGTGAAGTTGGTAAGAAAACCATCACAGGAGGGCTGAGATTGGACGGTTGGGAACCCGAGGCTGCTGCGGTGTCGTGATTCACAGCGGTGAGCACAGGTGTGAGAGGGTGGGGCCTTCCCCAGTTCCAACTCACCACAAGGAGATGAAGTTACAGCTGTCATAGGACACATGCAGCCCCCTGCAGCTTGCTATGGTCAGCATGCTCTTGGCACTTCTCCTCCTTAGAAGTTAGTTACATCACTTGTAGTTTTATTTCAGCTAGGACTAGAGTGTAAAGATCATGAAGTCCACTCTTGTGTTATGTTTCTATCACAGAATTTCAATTAAAATGGATTTTAAAGGATTTAGTTGCCTTTACTATTAATGATTTATCTACTGATAATGTTAGGATTCGGAATCATTAATTCAGTATGATCATTAATTCGTGTGGTTTTCCTAAGGTGACTCTGAAACCCTGTAACATGTCCAGGTGGCTCCTCAGCAGCTAAGAGAGTTGATCAGCCATCTCACAAACGTCCCTTCTACCAGGGTGCCCTGCCCAACTGCTGAGGAGCTGGGACACCAAACACGGGCAATTTCTGTCTGTGGGACAAGTCTGGAAAGAAGCCACCAAGCCACTTCTGCCACAGTTCATCACTGCAGCAATCACATGAGGGACGTTCACAGAACAGCCCTTTTACCTGCTATTCAACTTCTCACGATCCTGCTCACCAGACTACAGATATGTGCAGAAGAAAACCCAGGGCCTATGAGCCAGGTCCATCAGGGCCAGCTTGGCCTCCCGGGGCCGGGCACCCAGGTGGCTGCTCCCCACCAGAGCCGGTGCTGCCCGGAGCTGAGTCTGCCTCTCTTCCCCACACGATTCAAGACCTGGTGGTTAGCATCAGACTTACTTTTCTTAACAAAGTTTGTGATCGAATGTTTAATTAATTGGAAGTGTTATTTTGTCAAAATATTTATTCCCTTATGTGACTAATGCTAGATTCCCACGGATGTAGCTGAGCATTTTTATTTTGTAAATTCTACCTAACTTTACATAAACTATATCATAATAAACTATTTTTGCACCACCCTTTGCATGCTGTGTGATGCGGTGTTGATTCAGACAAAGGCAAATGCAAACCGTGTGTGTAGGTCTTGAGCCAAAACTCCCTCATCAGCTTCCTGACCTCCTAAAGAGGGCTGGGGTTTTTGTTTGTTTTTGTTGTTGTTGTTTAATAAATACCGGCTTTTTAACATTTATTTTTTATGAGGTGCTAAGGATCGAACCCAGTGCCTCACATGTGGTAGGCAAGCTCTCTACCACTGAGTCACTACCCCAGCCCCAGTTTGAAGTTTTATAACCTGCTTTTTTAAAATACTTTTTTTCAGAAGTTTTAGACTAGTTTTCAGCATTTCAAAATTAGGAGATTTCACATAAAAATCCATTTGACAAGTTCACACACAAGTCATAAGAAAAAATATTTGACATCTATAATCTAATTAAGGTACATTGCTTTGCAGAAGCCTTCAGGGTGTAAAAAAATAAGAAATATTCATTATGACGCCTTTAGTAATCAAGGTCCCGTGATTCCCCATGCTGTACCATTTTTAACTTTTTATTTACCTACTTATTTGGTCCTGGGGATTGAACTCAGGACATCTTACCACCAAGCTAAGCCCCCGCTTCTCCTCACTCTTCCAGGGGACAGTCTTGCTAAGTTGCTGAGGCGAGTCTGGAACTTGCGCCTCCCGAGTCACTGGGATCACCAGTGGGGGACCCAGCGTGGGACCCTGCATCCTGCCCACACTGTTTCATCATTTCCAGTGTAAACATACCTTTGTTTTTGTTTTTTTTTAAATGCATTCTACATTATGATCCAAAACACACAGACACAAAATTTAACAAAACAATTCTCCCTTACTGTAATATACTCTGATTTTTCTCTTCTATTTCATGTTTTTAAAGTTCTGGTTGAATGGCAAATTTAAAATAAACCAATTTTTTTTTTTGGAATCTTATTTCAGGCTTTAGAATAAAAGGTATGTAAGTGACTGTATGGGAATCCAAATTTTTGTTCAGAATATTATAGGAAAAAAATCAAAGACTATCAATTAGAAATCAATTTAAGGAATGTATAAAACTTAGCAAAAGGAAAGTTAAATACATAAACCGTTATTTCTAGAGTGTTATCCCAGTAGTTTAGGACTTTTTGATAACTTTTTGCCTATTTAAAAAAAATTTACATTCAAATATACACAACAAAGTGTGGACACTGGCCTGACATAGTGCTCTGTATTTTTAACACATTTTGCAGGGGATGGTCACTGAGGATTGCACTGGGGCACTCTACCACTGAGCCACATCCCCAGCCCTTTTTAATTTTGAGACAGGGTCTCACTAAGTTGCTGAGCTCAGCCTTGTTCCATCTTCCCGCCTCAGCCTCCTCACTGGGATTCTGGGAATAGGCCACTAGGCCCAGCATCACAGGCTTTTTTTTTTTTTTTAACTATATAAGTACGATTTAAAATCCATTTATGTCTGCAAATCCATCACCCTCTTGTGATTTGGGTGGGTGTGGGAGGGGGATCTGTCAACAGAGAATAGACGAGAACTTCCTTAAAATGATAAAGTCCTTGTGTGAAGCTATCCCCGAAGATGACGATCAAGACAAGGATATTTATTCTCAAAACCTCTCTATTCAACACTGTCCAGAGGATCCCACAAAACTGTCCCTGCTGCAGACTATGATGCACACTTCTGCCCACAGGACGGCTCATCTGGGGATTCCCATGAACAACTGGGAGGGGAAAGAAAGGCGTCCGACTTGGAAGAAGAAAAATTATTTCTCTGCAAATAGGATGATCTTGTATGTGGGAAATCCTAAAGAATCCATTAAAAATTGTTCAAATTAATAAGTTCACTAAGCTTGTAGGATATAAGATTGTATATTGTATTTCTACACACTAGTTATGAACAATCTAAACCTGAAATTAAGCAATTCTGTTTACAATAACATCAAAAACTAAACTTTAGAAGTGTAAGGACTTGCACACTGCAAACCACAAGTATCAAAGGAAATTTTAAGAGATTTAAATGGGAAAACAGGGCTGGGGTTGTGACTCAGTGGTAGAGCACTCACTTAGCATCTGCAAGGCCCTGGGTTCAATCCTCAGCACCACATGAAAAGAAATAAGTAAAATAAAGATATTTTAAAAATAAATAAATAAATGGGAAAACATCCCATGTTCATAGATTGGAAGACAAGATAGCAACATTTCCCAACCTGATCTACAGATTCAATGCAATTACTACCAAAATCCTAACTTATGGGGCTAGCATTGTGGCTCAGCAGTACAGTGCTCGCCTAGTACGTGTGAGGCACTGGGTTCTATCCTCAGTACTGCATAAATAAAAATAAAGGTATCATGTCGATCTACAACTAAAAAAATTTTTTTAAATCCTGACTTATTTTTGCAGCAGTTTATCAGTTGATCTTAAAATTCATATGGAAATTAAAGGAACCCAGAATATCCAATGCTGAGAAAGAGCAAAGTTAAAGGGCTTGTACTAGCAGGTTGCAAAACTTCAATAATCAAGACAAGTGAGGAACTGGCATTAGAATAATCACACATCAATGGAATGGAATTGAGAGTTCTCAAATAGGCCCTTACACTTACGGCCAATTAACTTCCAACTAGGGGGTCAACACCATCATTTCAAGAATTGCTTCCAGGAGGAGTAGATATCCCTAGCAGAGACAGAAGCCGGACCAGCTGCAGGTGTCCCCTCAGCCCGGCTGCCTGTTCCTGGACTGGCCCTTTGACAACTGCTGCTGCCTGAAGGACCTCAGTCAGCTGAGAGTGCTGTCCTAGGTGGCCTTCATGGCCCTGAGGGTCTCAGGGATGGACTCCCACCTGCTGGCCTGGCCAGCCTGTCATGGTCATCCCGGGGATCTGGGCCTGCTCCGGTGGCCTTCATGCTCCTAGGGCTTGTGGGCATCTGCACCAAAGCTGAGGAAATACCCCTTGGTAAAGGAAACAGCCCCCCAACATTTTTTCAGGGTGTGGACCTGGGGATTGAACTCAGGGTCCTCAACCCCTGAGCCCCATCCCCAGCCCTATTTTGTACTTTATTTAAAGACAGGGTCTCACTGAGTTGCTAAGCACCTCGCAGTTGCTGGCTCTGAACTTGTGATCCTCCTGCCTCAGCTTCCCGAGCCGCTGGGATTACAGGCGTGTGCCACCGCGCCCGGCCAGCCTCCACTTTTGAGGGAAAATTTAGTGTCATATTTCTTCAGTGGATATGTAACTTTACAAAAGCTTTTTTCAGAGAATTTAGCTAGTTAGGGGCTGGGGATATAGCTCAGGTGGTAGAGTACTTGCCTCATATAAACAAAGCCCTGGGTTCAATTAAAAAAAAAAAGAAAGGAAATTTAAATAGTATCTGAATATTCTGTGAGGTTCCTTTTGCTTAGATTACAAAAAAAGTATAATTACTGCATTAAGTAAAAATGAATATGTGAAAAAAAATCATTTTGCAAATCTTCAGACACTCCTGCAGATATCTCAGCTGGTCCTTTTGTGCATCCAGTTCCTGACAGCCACATGCAGCCATCTGAACAGCAGTCTACCCTCTGAAGAAAAGGTGCAGTCTGGTGGAGCCCAGGGCTCCCTGAAGGCCCCCGCCGTCACAGACCAGGCTGGCGGGAAAGCCTACGTGGCTGAGAACCCCAGGCCTTGTAGGTGAAACAGAATCTAGAGAAGCTGGGACGTTAGAAAACACTCGTCTCCAGGACGGATCTCAGTCTCACTGCAGTCTTGGAGGGGCTCCTGTCTTGACCACTGGTGTCTAAAGAGCTGTCTATTCCCTGCAAGAAAAGTCCTGGTGAAGAACAGCTGCTGTTGAACACAACAGAATAAGGCCAGGCCACACAGCATTCTCGTTCCAGAATCAGCAATATTTACTCAAAAGTGCCAGAAGCCCGGCATCCCACAGCAGTGTCACTCAGAAGGCTCTGTGTGACAAGTGTTCTCCTCCCAGGACACACCATGGGCATTAACAAACTTGGGAAGAACACACTTAACGTAACCACTTTGGGGTATATTACATTTTACAGCTTCTATTACATTTTTTAGAAATAAACTTTGCCTTGACTTGCCTAGCACAAAATCAAGGGTAACTTTAGGAGGGGAGAAACACACAGCGCTGAGTGGTCTCCAGGGGTTGACGGAAGCATGAGCTACTACAGATGGGAGACCCCACCCGCTCCCTCCTGGTGACAGTCACCCAGCTCATCTTACAAAAACACCAACAGCAGCAAAATCATAGCTTCAGATGTTATTCAATCTACAATGTAAGATACACATTGCCAAAATAAGTGGTGACAGTCGGAAACAGTTCACAATGCAGAGAGGTCTGTCTCCTGGCTGCCTGTCATCCAAGCCTCCACTCAACACAGCAGGTAGAGGCCCCGCGGTGGGGGCTGGCTCCCAGCCTGGAGTTCCCCAGGCCAGTCCCCACAGTGCATCACACTGAGCTGGAATGAACTCGTGGGCCCACGGGTTACAGGTGCGACTGCTCCTGACCACACAAGGCCACCTCGGACACGAGGATGTTAAAAGTGGGAGCACCATGTACAAACAGACGTGGCTTCTGGCCACCGCGGCCCACATCAGCAGAGCACGGCGCTGCCACAGGAAGACGACGGTAGCTGTGGAGGGCTGACTCTGCCAGGAAGGGGCCCAGGAGGATGGCCTGCCTTTTCTGGCAGCTCCTGCTCTGAGGTGGCCCTGGACAGTGGCCCCCGCAACAGCGCCTGCCATGCTGCTCCCCTCTCGAACTCTCTAACCAGAGCTGGCACAGGTGCCAAGAGCCAGCTGCACTGTGGGGCGAGGAGAGGCCCGGATGGGGAAAGAAGGTCCCCAGGGACAGGCCCCGAGGCTGAGCTGGACCAAGCCCGCCAGAGACCTTTCTGGAATCGGAAGGTGGGTGGGATGCTCACCCCGACTGTGCAGCCCAAGGAGCTGGGTTCTCAAGCAGGACGAGGCAAAGGTCCCAAACCAGGCGCAGGGAGCCAGGGCTGAGCGACTGTGGAAGGCAAAGGGTGAAGCCCCAGCCCCTGACCTGGCACCACGGGGACCTCCCCTCTCAGCCCACCTTCCCTGACACAGGGCAGTCAGTCGGCAGGGGTCACTGGGGGCTTTCTGGGTGGAGGTCTCAGCACGGCCTCTGCCCAGGCAGCACACTCTGCCCCCTGCAGGCTGGTGGGCTTCCAGGGCAGGACGAGCCCCGCATCTCTGGAGGGGAGGGCCCAGCTTCAGCGACTGCGCTTCTTTTGTGGGAAAAAGCTGTACTTGGTGGGGTTGAACTCTTCCCAGATGCGCTCGAACTCCTCCAGGAACAACTTCACGTACGTGGCGTCCTCCATGATCAGGACGTTCTCCCTGTTGTTCTGGATGGCCTGCGTGGTCCAGTTGAGGGAGCCAGTGATGAGCACCTTCTTGTCCACGATGGCAAACTTGTGGTGCATGTAGCCCAGGTCCTGGTCGTGCCGCACCTGGATTCCTGGGCAGGAAAGGCGTCTTACTCCCCTCCCTGCACGGACTCCCAGGTACCTTCCCAAGGTCGCCATCTGCTGCCCAGGGCAGTGTGGAGACCCCAGGGGGAGGGCCAGCCTGTCACCCAGGGGGCACGAAGCAGGGCAGGGCCAGCCTCCAAGGAGCAGTGGAGGGAGGTGGGACAGCACTGTGACTGGACCCCACCCACGCGCACAGCCCTTTGCCAGGTCTGGGGTCTAAACCAACTGCCCACCATGTTCCTTCGTGGTCCAGCTCTGGGTAAGGGTACAGAGCAGGGCACCCGAGGCTGTCCTCACCTCTCCTTTCCACTCCCACTTTCCCCGGCCAGGCCCACTGGACAGAGGAAGAGGCAGGAGGGAGGCCCCGCCCACCTGGCCAAGGTCACACCAGGGACAGGAGGGAAGACCCCTGGGCCTGGTCCGCCCTGAGACACGGCCCTCCCCCACCCTCGTGGTCCCAGTTGTCCCACTCCCCACAGTGAGGGGCCACCTCTGTCTGACTCCTCAGGGCACCAGCCCCCAGGAGGCCACCTGCCACCGCCATCTGCTCTCAGAGTGGGACTGCTGGCAACATGCCAACAGGGGGCTGTGCACAGCGCAGCCACATTTACCAAACAGAGACACCTGGGGTCCAGATTGGGTGTCTGAGGTGAACAGTGAGTTCTGGAAGTCCTATGTCCCCTGCAGCACAGGTTTCTCCTTCTGTACGTGGAAGTCAAACTCAGCTGTGCACCCTGCCCTCCCTCCTCAGGAGGGACCCTACCTGGTGCTGGCACCCAGGACCAACCCAGCAGACCCCTCCCTCCACCCTCAGAACAGATCTGAACCCCACCCTCTGGACACCCACCTTACCACGCCCACCCTAGCCACCCGCCACCCTCCTCACCGGCTCCTCAGGTGTCTGCACAACCTGAGCCACACATGCCGTTTCCCGCCACACAACAGTGTCCTACAACACCAGCCCCCTGGCATCTGTCACCCCTTCTCCACTTCAGCCACAGGGACCCACCCTTCCTCAGCAGCTCAGGACTGAACGTCTGAACAGCGCATTTGCTGTCCGTCAGAGCACTCAGGTCTGGCAGCTGTCCTACCGTCCCTCTTCCTCCCACACTGAAGTCTTCCAGACCCTTTTTAAGTTCCTCAAGTCAGCTGAGTGGAGTGGCACACACCTGTAATCCCAGCGGCTTGGGAGGCTGAGGCAGGAGGATCACAAGTTCAAAGCCAGCCTCAGCAATGGCAAGGCACTAAGCAACTGAGTGAGACCCTGTCTCTAAATAAAATACAAAATAGGACTGGGGGTGGGGCTCAGTGGTCGAGTGCCCCCGAGTTCAATCCCTGGTACCAAAAAAAAAAAAATAGTTCCTCAAATCAAATATCCATGCTTTAGGTCCCAGCACCTGGACCCAACCTGTAGACACTGACCACACTTCGTCTGCTGAGTGAACGCCAGCTGATGGACAACCGAGAGCCAGATCAGCCCAGATGTGGCTGGGGAGCCATCAGCAGAGGCCCAGTCTTTCAAGGAGAATCTGGTTCTTTCCAAACCTGTCTAAAAGCCAGCTAATTTAAGTTCTGCCTGAAGGAATCCACGCTTCCCACACTGAAATGACCCACAGACGGAGGCCAACTCTGGTGACTGCCAGTTAAGAGGGATGGGAAGGTCCTCAACATTTAGCTCACCCTCCACTCTGGTCCCGGGGGATGGGCTGTGCTGGGTGGAGGGTCTGACACCCTCCCACCCGGGGCAAAGGAACCCAGACGGACACCAGGAAGGAGTCCTCTGATCCCCAGGTCAGCAGGCGGCCCGCGGCTGGGCAGAAAGAACTGGGCAATGAGACCACGGCAAGCCTGACATGTCCCACGTCAGTCACAGTGGCCACGAGATGACCGAGATGGACGCGCACACAGACATGGCTCTCCAGGTGCCTGGGGATCCAGAGACACCCGAGGCTCACCCTGGGCACTGGCACAGGAAGCAGGAGCACCCGACCGCCACACTGAGTAGGCAAAGAACAGACTCCTCATCCCCAGGCAGACGGGGGTCCGGATCTTTCCTTTCATCCCCATGTTGGGTAAAGAAGCAGGCCAGAGAGCCACAGCTGTCTTCTCCTCTTTTGCAGCTGAGAAACAACCGCTCATCAACATTTTTGGCTCCATTTTCAGTAGATAAGTTTTATACACTTCTGGAGCCCAGCGTGAAATTCCTTAGTGCCACAGGCAGGTGCCTGCTCCCCTGGGAGCAGAAGCCAAACCCTGACGTCACACACAGACTGGCTCAGGGTCTCTGCAGGCTGCCAGTGGTTAAGCACAGAAAGTTGGGCTTTGTTGGGTTTTGCCATGCTGGGGATGAAACTCAGAAGCCTCTACACTAATTTACACCTCAACCCTTTTTAGTTTTTACTTTGGGACAAAGGTATAAGTGGCTGAGACTGGCCTTGAACTTGAAATCCTCCTGCCTCAGCCTCCCCAGGCACTGGGATTACTGGTGTGGCCAGAGCTTTACTCTTCATTCTGAGTCCTGCCAACCTCTTGTAGGACGGCAACAGTCCCCAAGACTGCTGGTCAGGGCAACCCTTCCCACCTGTGCCCAGGCACCTCCCATCCCCAGCATACCCCAGGGCCTGGGAATAAGCGGGATCCTGGAGGCTCCACGTTTTACGTGGTGTCCTGGGACAAGACATCTCCTCTAGGAAGTCCCACCGTCCTTCCTCCCCTCCTCTCTGGGAACACACTCAGACACGGGACATCAGACTGCTCTGCAAAGAATCCTGGCGTGGCTCACGTGCCAGGTGGCCTGACTTTGGTCGCGGCAGGTGCAAAACCACCCAGTCCTTACTGGGGGACTCAGTGAGGTCTCTGCCTACCCTCAGGTCCCTCCCACCAAGTGCCGCCTTCCAGGGCCTTCCCTGCTCTGCGCGCCCACCCGGGGCCCGGTCCAGCTCACCTGCCTTGCGCAGCAGGCCGATCTGCGAGCCGTTGAGCGCCATGTAGTCGCAGTCGGTGATGACTCGCACTCGCACCCCGCGCTGGTGCAGCAGCTGGACGGCGCGCCCCAGCTGCGGGCTGGAGAAGGCGAAGAGGCAGAGCTCGAGGCTGGCACGGGCGGCCAGCAGCGCGCGCAGCAGGCGGCTCAGCGAGCTCTCGCAGTGGGGCAGGCTGCACGGGCAGCCCGAGGGCGGCCGGGCGGGCGCGGCGCCCGGGGCCTGCAGCAGGGCCTCCGTGCAGGTCACCTGGGACGGGAAGAAGAGGACTTCGCGCCGTGGCCGCCCAGCCCGTAGCCTGCGCAGCAGCCAGGGCAGCGCCTCCAGGGCCAGCGCGAAGCCTGCGGCCGCCACAGCCACCATCTGCCAGCGCAACCGCTCCATGACGCCCGCCGCTGAGGCCCCAGGCTGGAGGGCACCGCGCCTGCGCACCAGACACGCACCAGACACGTGCCTGATCACGCCTCGCCACGTGCTGGCCACGCGCTGGCCACGCCCTCGCCACGCCCTCAACGGCTGAGCGCATCCTGGCTGGAATGTGGGGCCCGCCGACCCTGGGCTGGGCTCCACCCGCGCTGAGCCAGCCCCAGACAGCTCTTTCCTGTCCCCCATAGCTCCTCTCCATGCCTAGGGGACCCCCGACCTCCCCCAACGAGGGTCTGGCTGCACCTGTGCACCCGGCCACTCGGTGCTCTGCACACCCTCCTCCTGCCCGAAGCCTGCTGCACCTGGCTCCCCTGGCTCTGGGTCTCTCGGGTCACACCTTCACTGTGGTCGTTGGGGAGCAGCTGGGTAGGGCTGGAGAAGGATCTGAAAACACATAAAATGTCCGGGAATTGATGCTCAGTGGGAGCATTGGAACCCCGTGTTCTTCCCACGCCCACAGGTTCTGCTCTATCTAAAGGCGCAGGTTCCACTTTAAGAGCAGGAAGGAGATGCCACCCTGGTGGCCCACCGGGCAGGCGCGGGCCTGCTTACCAGAGAGAGGGAAAGGCAAGAGGGGGCGAGGGTCTCCGCTGTCTTTGTTGCTGAATCCTGGTCAGGAATTAGCCTGGCTGAATAGAACTCTTTGTCTTGAAGTGGAAACTCCTTCTTGGGACCAACTAAGGGTCACCATGATGTCGTCTGTGAAAAATAGATCCTGGAGGTGGGAAGGAAAGCGGCAACATAGGAAACTGGGAGGCTCATGACCACAGGAAATGCAGGGACACGGGCCCTTCTGAGGCTGCAGAGTGTGCCCGGGTGCACGGGTAAGGAAAGGCCTTCAGTTGGCCGCGGCCAGGCGCCAACATAGGGAAGCTGCGGGTGCAAGGGATCCCTGTGGAACTGGAGGAAGCGGGGAGACTGGGGAGGACTGTGTTCAGTCTCATATAGGTAGACATTCACACAAATAGTCTTAAGGTCTACCTCTGTCCCTTTCCAGAAACAAATGTCACATCACTAGCAGCGAGAACACCTGTGACCACAATCCTGGTTTCTAAACACCAGGCTCTAAGAGAGGAACCAGTGCTCCTGAAGGTTGACCGGCTGGGCCAGGAACAGGAGCAGTGCCCCTGAGCATGAAGCAGTGTCCCGAAGGAAGTGCTCAAACCCAAGGAGGGCAGCACATCCCGGGACCCAGCAGCCCAAGGAAAAGAACCCAGAGGCAGTGTGAGGAGCAAAATCAGGTCGTGCTGGCCGCAAACCCCAGCTGATGTGAAGGTGTGTGTCTGCTACACAAGTGATCGACAGTAAAGAATGAGAGGGAGACGGTGCGTCTTCACTGCAGAAGGCTCAAATGGTACAGATCACCAGTCCCCAGGAGCTAGAGCCCACCCTCCCACCCACCTTAGGAGTGGGCTGAAGGCTGAGTGGAGCACAGCAAAGAGGCCCAGCAGACACGACTCCCACCAGGTGACGGTAAGGGAAGCCAGGGGAGCCGTGTAGAGAACTCTGCTCTATCTTGGAGGCTTTTCTGTGAACCCAAAACTATTCCAAATTAAGTATAATAAAATGCCAAACATACACCTTCCAAATAATCCTGCTATCCTTCCCTTCAAGGTGTGACCCCGGAGAGATGAAAGAATACGTCCACACAAACACGGACACAAAACTTCACAGCAGGTTTATCTGTAAAAACCCTGAACCTGGAAACAACCCGAATGTCCACCATCATAAGTGGACAGGTGCTGAGGCCCACACCTCGAGTCCCAGTGGCTCAGAAGGCTGAGGCAGGGGCCTGGGCTGTGGCTCCTCGGTAGAGCACCTGCCTAGTGCGTGTGAGCGCTGGGCTCCATCCTCAGCACCCCATAAAAGTAAATAAATAAAATAAAGGTCTTGCGTCCACCTACAACTAAAAAATGATAAAGAATAATAAAAAATAAAAGAAGGCTGAGGCAGAAGGATGGCAAGTTCAAGCCCAGCCTGGAAAATTTAGCAAGACCCTGTCTCAAAGTTAATAAAAAAAAAAATAAGCCTGGGTTAGAGTGCCCCAAGTTCAATCTTCTGTATTGAAAAAAAAAAAAGGAAAAGGAAATAAACTTTGGTATATATGGTGTATTACTATTTATCAATAAAAAGGCATGAAGTACTGACAGGTGCTCAGCATGATATGTTTCCATTATGCTGAGTAGAAAAATCCATTTATATAAAAACCACAGTGACCTGAAGTCACCCAAGTTGGAGTGAGCAGCCGGCCACAAGTGCAGGGGGAGCCCCTGGGAATGAGGGAACTGGAGAGGATGGCTGGGCTTTGGTTTGGATATAGTCTGAGTGTGTCCCCCCAAATTCACAAGGCGACATTTCATCCCACTGGACAGTATTAAGAGGAAACTTAAATCCAACTTAATCCAACTGTGGTGTGTAGAGGTGGGGCCTTTGTTAAGCAATTAGGACTAGCTAAGGTCATTAGGGAGAAGCTTCTGTGGCTGAATCCTGGTGGCTTTATCAGAAGAGAGAACACAGAACACACGTGTACTCTCCCCGTTTCTTGATATGTGATGCCCTGAGCCACCTTGGGACTTTGCCAGCAACCAGGCCATCACCAAACATAGCCCCTCCATTGCACCTCCAAACCCATGAGCCAAAATAAATCTCTCTATAAAGTTACTCAGCTGTAGGTATTTACTTACAGTAATGAAAAAAGGCCCAAGATGGGCTGAGGCGCTCTGTACACTCCTAGCTAACGGGGATCTGTGCAGGTCGGGGGGAGCCCCAAGAGAGCCCAGGGAAAAGGAAAAGCCAAGGTGGTTTAAAAGGGTTCCCCAAACCACAAACAGGTGGAATAACACAGGCTGGGAGCACTTGAATACAAATGCTGTGAACCACTGGCTGATCAGTAATCAAGGGAGGAAGCCACAGGTGGATTCCCAGGGATGAGCATCGAAACAACTGAGAGACACACTGGGCCATACACGGTAGGAGGAGAAAGTCTGATGTTGAAATCCAGGTAAGCGGGCTGGGGATGTGGCTCAAGCGGTAGCGCGCTCGCCTGGCATGCGTGGGGCCCGGCTTCGATCCTCAGCACCACATACCAACAAAGATGTTGTGTCCGCCGAGAACTAAAAAATATTAAAAATTCTCTTAAAAAAAAAATAAATCCAGGTAAGCTGTCAATCAACCTCCAAAAAATCACACAGAACTCAGGGTTGCTGCCACATATATAAAATTTCTAGTTTTCAACCAAGACTTACTGGACATGGAGAGAAACAGGAAAACGTGACCCATACACAGGAAAACAAGAGCAAAGGGACAGTGACTTTGGACCCACGTATTGGAGTTAACAAAGACTTCAAAGCAAGTTCAAGTTAAAGGAAAATAGAGTAACAATCAACAAATATAGAATCCCAATAGTGAAACAAAAAAATATATATTTTTTTGTTTTTCTGGTACTGGAAATTGAACTTAGAGGTGCTTTACCACTGAGCTACATCCCCAGGCCTTCTTATTTTTTATTTTGAGACAGGGTCTCACTAAGTGGCTGAGGCTGGCCTTGAACTTGAGATCCTTCTGCCTCAGTCTCCCAAATCACGGGGATGACAATTTTTAAAGTCAACCCAGCAACCCCTCTTCAGGGTACACAAACACTCTTTGATTCATCGTGGGGTGACATCCTGATAAGATCATAATAAGTCGAAAACAGCCCAAGGTGAAATGTATTAACCTCACCTACCTTAAACACACCAAAACAGTTTCTTCAGCTGCACTTTGACAAGAGACTCCAACAGGCCTGCTTTGTCATGAAGCACTGAGTAGCTCAGGGAGTTACTGAATCCTCTACTGATGTGGAGAACGGAATGGAGGTACGAATAGCTCTCACAGCTTCAAAGAGTCAGGGACCATCTGTACCAAAAGGAAATGAAATCACCCCTCACGACCATCCCCTGCACCTCACATTTACCACAGCACTTTTACCATCACCAAAATACGAAGATAGTCTAGGCGCCACCAGTGGACATCACCTAAGCACCGGCATCAAGCCTTGATCAATTCCTGTTGACTAACAATAGAAATCAACCAACCTGAAGAACAGAAAATATCTGCAGAAAAGCAGATCAGGACCTGTAGGACCAGGGGTGTAAGGACCCATCATGCACGTAAGAGGTGTCACTGGAGAGGAAGGGCAGACCAAGTATTTGCAGAAATAATGGTTGAAAACTTCCCAATTTGAGAAAAAACATTAACCTATAAATTGAACCAAACTCCAAGTAGGATAAACACAACGGGAAGAACACCTAGATCCACCCGCTCAAATGCTGGTCCAGGGGCAGAAGGCCTTGAATGTGCGGGAGACAGCGGCTCATGCCCGAGGAGTCTGAGTGACAGCCACAGCGCACATTGACTAGTTACCAGAAACACAGAGGCCGGTGTCAGGGGAATGGCACTAAGTGCCGAAAGGAAAACAAGACCAACCAAGAATCCCAAATCCAGCAACTGGGCTTCAGAAATGAAGAGGAAATAAGATACTCCCAGATCAAAAAGGACTTGTTGGTGGCAGACAAGAAACACCAATCAAACTCCTTCCGCTGAGGACAGAGTTTGATCAGTGTTTATCAAGGAGGAAATGCGAGATTTTACAATGTGTGTGTGATTTTTCTTCTCTTCATTTCCTTAGAACATGTAACTGGCTTAACAATGCGACTATGTTGTTGGCCAACATAGGTAGACATGATATACACATGTATAAACACATTACACATGTCATGTATATATAAATCACAGAAAGCAGGGAAGAGGAACTGGGGACCTATTGAAGCAAAACTGCTGTATTTTCCAGAATTAAGTCAGTGTTCTAGTCTGTTCTCTGTGACTGTAATGATAGGTGAAAAGAAGTCTATTTAGCTCACGATTTGGGGGCCAATGGTATGGTGCTGGTGCTGGCTCTGGTAAGGCCCCCTGGCTGACAGTGAACAGCATCA